TAGCCTGCATATCGCTCAGGGCGATGGGTCAGGGTAAATGAATACAACTCAACTCAACTCACTCTTACATCACCCACACTTACAAAACCATATTTCCCCCCGCACGACCAAGCTCAACTCATCATGCAGGGCGCTTATTGTCGCCGCGTGAACTGCAGCATGACGGGGGGCAGCGTCGTGGTGAAGGTGTCGAGCGCGCCCGTGTCGAATGCCTCGCCCGTCTCACCCGGCGCGAAGGACACGTTGTACAGCTGGGCGATGTTGCTGATGGAGATACGGAGGGACATGATGGCGAGGTTTTTGCCGGGGCAGGAGTAGGTGCCTTGGGATTGTTAGCATGAGTTTGAATGTGTGCGGATTTCCTTCCCTATCCAGCATGACATCACCACCTGCACCCCCTCCTGCCCCAATCAGGGGTGAAGGAAGAAAAGCAGAAGACGAATAGAAAGTGCGAGGAGAAGCGTGGCAAACTCACCAATGTTAAACGGCATAAACGGCGCGCCATCCGTGCCCATCTCAGCCCTGCGCTCGCCAAACCGCTCGGGAATAAACTCGTCTGCCTGCTGCCAGTACCTCGGATCATTCTGGATAAGCTTCATCGGGACGAACACGTGCGTGTTGCCCGGAATAAACGTCTCGTCGACCATAAGGCCATGCGTCGGGGTCTCGCGGTACACGCCCGTCATGACGGCGGGCTTGATGCGCAGCGTCTCGTTCATAATGTCGTCGATGAAGGACACGCTCTTGGCTTTCTCGTACGTCCACTCGCTGTTGCCGGCGGGCATGGCCGTGTCCAGCTGCGCTTGCAGCTTCTTCAGCACGGAGGGGTACTTGGCGAGGTAGAAGAGGATGCAAGCGAGCGTCGTGGCGGTCGTTTCGCTGCCGGCGATGACGAACGTGCGCGCGTCTTCTTCGAGCGCGTCTTCTGAGGGCGGCGCGGTGATGTCTTTCTCCTTGAGGGCTTTGATCAGCCAGGACATGACGTCCTGGGGGTATTGCTCCGCGTTCCATTCCTGGGTGGCGTTAGTGCTGATTTCTTCATCTGGTCGTTTTATACGCGGTGGCGGGCTACCTTTTTCTTCACGTGGACCTGGCTCGAGCACCATCCAAAGAGGTCAGCGTAGCCGGCTGTGGCACCGGGGACCCGGGCCAAGACGTTCAGCGCCCAGGGCATATTCGACATGATGCCGAGGATGTTCATGTGGTCGTGGAGGCCCTTGATCGCAATGTGCTCTTCGCCCGAGGCGACGCAGCCGAAGTCCTTGCCGAAGCCGATTTCACCCATGATGTCGAAGGACATGTACATGGACCAGGCAGTCGCATCCATGGGCCTGCCGTCAGAAATGTGAGAATGGATTTGGTTCATCAGCTCATCGGCTATCCTCTTGATGCGCGGCTCATAGGTGTTAAGCGCTGCGTAAGACGTAAGCATGGCAAATTTTACGGGCGTCAATCTGTCAGTACCTTTAATGGCAAAGCCTCTGTCCCAAGCCTTGCGTCTCCTCTTGTGGTCCAAGAAGTCCCGAGTCATATGAATGGAAACCTTGGTGCAATCGCTCGAGGCCTGGATGTACCATGTAGCCTTGGTGCATTCCGTTTGTGGGCCGTAAATCAAAGGAACCGCTGACTTGCGGACAACACAAACCTCGCGGGGGCCTTTAGGTTGGCGGTTAACGAAAACTCGCGGAAATGATCGCATAAAGCTCACCTGTGCGGATGAAGTCGCCGTACTGGGCGTGCATCTTTCTAATTTCCTCATGGTACTGGGTTTCCTTCGCAGCGAGGCGGACAGCATAGAAACGAGTGAGTTTTGCGCCCCAGGGGCCGGGAAACTTGCGTAGCCGGTGGAAGAAGAGCCTATAAACCGCGATGCTGAAGAAAAGTCCGATGTTGAAGCCCGTAGTGACGAGCGCAACGCGAGCCAAAGCCGCCGGCACGGCGAAGTTGGCGACAGCGATGTACGCGAATGCAACAGCAACGACAGCCAAGATAGACGAGAAGATGAAGGTGTAAATGTGGTTATCCAGCTCGATGTTCCGCAGAACCGTCAGATGAAATATTAATCCCAAGCCCGCTGCCGATATGGCCGCCGTGATCGGGTCCGTCTCCAGGGCGGCCTTCAACCCCTCCAGGGAGAGGGGGGACGGGTTTGCCATGGCGGAGTTTCACACACTAAAGCAGTGTAAACCCGGGTAGTATTTGGAAACGGGAGACAAGCAACGATCCGAAAACAGCACTCGAGGCGCGAACGCAGAATATTTAAACGTGGAGGGGTTCATGCACGTCAACAGGGGGAAGGCATACGACTCGTTGTCGTGGGTCTTGATAGCATTATCAGATGATTGGGCCGGCTCGTGGGCAAAGCAGGTTGAGCAAAACAGGAGACATGCGACATGGTAACAGCCTATTGGATGGTCGTTAGCTGGTGAACACAAACGTCCAATGGGTGTTCGTGTATTGCGGGACGTAGGTCCGGGCCGACTGCGTGGAGAAAGTCAGCGCGGGCCACGAGACCCCCCGGCCGCCTATCCGCTGCCGCATGGTGGAAGGTCTGGAACATGCCCTGAACATATCGAAGAACTCGCGGAAGTAGATCAATTTCTCAGCATGGAAAGTGTTCAAATGTTCAAATCTTACGGAGGTGGCGTTTGTGTACTACGATATGGCGACAGCGAAGCAGAGGGGTTGCGTTGCACGGTTGAGGTCGGGTGACGACCTGCTTGTCGTGCTATCAAATTCGGAAGTAGGTAAACTGCCATTCCTCCGAGAGGCTTCCACAACTGCAGCTTTGTTTATGCTGGGTGGTTGTAGCTGGTAAGCTGCTCAATTCTATTCGTCTCGCCAACAGGAAAATTTCGTAGACGATATTGTGATGGCTGTGTGTTGCACTGACAGGACGATCTTTTCGCAGTTGCGGTAATCCGTTAACCGAAAGAAAGTAAAATGTGGATGCTTAGTTCGACATTCATCTTCGGTTTTCCACTTGGGTTTCTCTCCTCGGACATCCATCCTGCAGTACTGTAGTAACGTATGGTGCAACGACATCTCTTTTGTTATCCAACTTTCAATATTCCTTGCGCAGAACTAGTCCTTCGTACCTACTAATTTTACCCGTTTGGGGAAATTTGCTTGCCTCATCAAGATCAGATCGCGGCGCGATGATAATAGCCCAGCACGGATCTCTTCAAAGTTCTCACTTTGCTGCTGAATAGCAGGGTGTTGTATGGTTATACGATTGCCGGGACCGAATATTTGCTGTATAGTGCAGGCCACCAGATGGGCACATTCCCAACGCGGGTCTCCTCGGCATGTCCTTGAAGCTGGCCAGATGTTGAATTTGGAAGTGGATAGGCAAGAGAAAAACACTTTGTGGTGCTAACAATCCAGCTCTTCCGCTCCCTGAAAATGATGCGCTTATTCACGTCCAACTGTTTCCAGAAATTCATAGATTGTGGTCTTCGGTTGCTTTCAAGAATATTCCAGACATCGGCCGCAGAAAAGGAACCATCTTACAACTGACAAGCGGCTGGACGCGGTGACCCAGTGAAGTAATTGTGCGGCCTCGTCCTGTTCTGAAGTATCTGGTAGGCGTCACCCCAAATAAAGTCTAGTGTTGATGGTCCAGCGGCAATGGCAACGATATGAGGTAAACTTAATATCGCAGTTTCGCATCTAGCGATTGGGGACATCCAGTGATTTACGAATGAACCGATGTTTGCGCACAAGGTACAAGTGGGACTGTCCGCATCGTGATCCGGATGTTGTATGCCTTCCTAAACAGTAACGTGAGTACTTCTCCCAAAGACCATCGCTTCAAAACAAGATTTGCCGCTGATCATGCTCCCGAGAAGGACGAGTCCAGGCTTCTGCATGAGAAGTATGCAGAGGAAAGGCTAGAATTTTAACCACAAATGCTGCAAGGACGCCAAGTACCGTGTCCGAGAACCGTGCGTCTCGGCACTTGAGTGCCGTTGTATATTGCTCCTAGGACCCTGATCTGGTTCGTCTGTGGCCTCATCGTGAGAGTCCGGCGTAGAATCGCCGAAGGGCCAAGCGATTGGCCGCCATGCGGTCTAGGAGCAGTTTTGGCGTGTCATGGCGCGAATGCTGAGGGTGGTGTTGCCGGTAGTAAAAGGACTTAGAAACTATCTGTGATTGTCGGTGGTCAGGCAGATGCTAGACAGATTGTGTGGTTGGAATACGGTTGGTCGAAGAGCAGTGAGAAGCGATGCTGGGGGTAGAAAGTTTGTCAGTTAAACACCTGCGTTCGGTACGAAGAGCATTTCATTACGGATAAAACCGCCAGTCTGTACGGATGAATGCATCGTGAGCAAATGACACTCTTACGGCCGTTCGAGCCCCGTCGCCTCGAGTCGCGGCGACTGCCTCTCCGCGCGAGGGTCTGCGCACGGCCAAGATTCCGGCATGGGCAATGCTTTTCTCCGGATGAAGCCATCGTGAAAGAGCACGAGACAGGCGGGCTCAGGCTCGAAAGGCTCGTCCGGGCTCTCTCCAGCTCCACAGGCCGGAGCAATGATGCAAGAAGCGAATACGGCCGTCGGAGCCGTGACGCTTGGCGGGCGTGACATCCGTGGAACAAGAGCCCAACGCAACTCACCGCCGACAAGGAAGAAGCAAAGGACGGCGAAGAACAAGGAATGCAACGTCGGCGGGAGTTGCCAGGTGACGGCGGCGGCGGCGACGGCGGCCGTTTTGCGATTTATCCAGCCAATGGCGGGGTGTGGGCGGATTCAGGCTAAAGCGGGCACGCGAGCCCCCCAGAGCCTCATCAACGATCCGGGGAGCGCCTGGGGCCCCAACGCAAACCAAGGCTCTCATTAGCCGCGTCTGGAGCCTCGTCTCCGGCCGAGGGGGCGCGTTGCCGTGTGTCATCGTACGATGCATCGCCGTGAGACAGGATTTCTGCCGCCGCCGTGCCTGCGCTTTAAAAGGCCCGGTGCTGCCCGCCCGCCCCAAGCCCCAGGCCTGCCCCGGATCGTTGGCCCTTTCCCCCGGATTTCTGGGGTGCGCTGATCGACACACCACACAACCCACTCGGACACGCGAACACTGACAACAACTACGACAACAACAATGGCCACCACCGACCGGGGATTAAGGGGGGAACGAACGTACTGGGAAGAAATCAGACTTGGCGGTTTCGCAATGGACACCGTACCACAGGGACTCTAAAAAGGAACCTCGACGCGCTTCTGTACTCTACACCTGCACAGCACGACAGGCGACCAGCAAGGCCAGACACATCGGGCCCAAACGAACGGATGACGACAGGGAAACCGGCAATCCGACGATCAACGACGCGGCTGCCACGGCTACCACCCCGCTGGCGTCGCGACTGATGGATGATTGACGACCAGCCTCGACCGCTGCGCCGGTTACCACCACCACCGCTTCACACGTCACACCACGCCACTCTACCCCACACCCAACCTCGCCGATTCCACTCTTATAGCCCCACCCCCGTCCTCACTCACCTTTTTTCTCGGCTCCGCTCCCGATCGAACGATGCTAAATACGGCTGCCTCCATCACCTCGGTTTCGAACAAGGGCAGGGTTTGAACGGGAAAGAAGGGAATCATGGATACTGGCAAGAGTAGGAACACAGATGGGAACAGGTACAGACAGAGGATCTGAACATGAACCTGTGTTCACTGGGTAAACGCAGCAGACCACGCTGGGCACTACTACTACGGCAAAGGTACACCGTCACTGGGCAGCACCTAGAAGATACTCTTACCCACATTTGCAGGATGACGGCTGGCCCTAAAACATCCATCGCGGAACATGGCCGTCAAACCGTAAAATCGGACAGGAACACTTACCACCACAGTGCAGCCAAGGTGCGCAGGATCCCAGGACCTGGACCGGATCGAACAAGGACCTTGACCACAGCGGACGCATACCGGAACCAGGATCAAAGGAATCATCGACGTTCACAGCAAAGCCAAGGAACCACAAAATGAGTTGACAAGATATTCTTGCATACTTTCTCTCGCCCTGTGCGAGGCGAGGCTAATCGTTACATACAACACATGATCATTAAAGTTTCGGCCGTCCATCCAGCCCTCAGCAAATGCCCCACCACAACATTAAAAAATCCAGAAGATCGTAGAAGGGTAGAAAATACTCCGTACCCGCGATAGAAAAACGACAAACGCCGCCGTCCAATCGACTTTTTTGCAAAAAATTTGCTTAGGGGGTATTAAGCGCATTTAGACGCGCTGGGGGTCCATCAGCGTTCCGCCGGGCTGGCCGTCGATGGCGTTGTTGGTCTTCTCGCCCTCGATGTCGCTGTCCTCGACCTCGGCCTGCATGACCTCGGCAAGCTTGGAGCGAGCGCGGAGCGCGGGTCCGAACTTGTACATGACGAAGGGGAGCGTCGTCAGGAGGACGGCAACGAGAGCCAGCAACAGACCGGCCCACTGCGAGCCCATGTTGTGGAAGAACTGGTTGGCGAACAGAGGCGAAATGGCACCGAGCGTGTTACGCATGAGACCTTGGCCGGCGATGGCAGAGGAGCTGTTCTCGCCGTAGCAGTCGGCAGTGAAGGAGTAGCAAGACTCGAAGATGAAGAATATACCGAAGGCGATCAGGGCCAGGGCGATGACGGGGCCAACCCAGGTGAGGTAACCGTACTGGGTGAAAGAGTAGATGAAGAGACCGATGGGGAGCCAGATGGCGCCGAAAAGAGCACCGTACAGACGAGCCTCGGGCGCGACGTTGCCATTGCGCTCCTTCATCAGCTGGTTGTACTTCCTGATCTGGAAGTAGTTGAGGCCGTAGCCCAGGGTGACACCGATGCAGAGAGCGATGTAGGGAAGACCAGCTGGGGGAAAAGTCAGCAACTGCGGAAAGACCAAGAATGTGCGACGCGGGAAAACTTACAGACACCCTCGTTCCAGCCGTGCTTCTCGGTGAAAGTGATAGGAATGACCGACAAGAAAAGGAAGGCCAGGAACCAAGCGAAAGAGATCCAGAGACCGAAAGCGAAGACGACGGGCTCGGTAGCCAGCATGTGGATGGCCTTGACTGAGGAGTTGTGAAGCATCTGCTTGATGTTGCGGGCCTCAAGGTCCATCTTGGACTTGTACATCTCGTTGTTGGTGGCAGCGCGGATGGCCTTGGCGCGCTTCTTGAGCGTCACACCACCACGGGTCTCCTTGAAGGTGAGGAGGATAACGATCAAGAGAGGAACGCAGGAAAGACCCTGAATACCCTCAATCCACCTCCAGCCGATGGTCATGTCGATGAAACCAGCGTAGATGGGTGCGCCGACCGTACCGAGAATGGCAATGTACGAGAAGAGGGCCATCGGGCCGGAACGCTTGTCGGGAATGTACATGTCGGAGAAGGTACCACCGACGAGAATCGTACCAACACATCCGAAGAGACCGAGCAGCGCACGAAGGACCAGGATGGTGCCGATGTTCTTGCCGAGAGACAGACCAATGAAAGTCAAGGTGAAGCAGCAGTAGGCACCGACGTAGACGAGCTTACGACCGACCAACTCGCAGAAAGGCGCAAGGAACAGAGGAGCCAAGGCGCAAGTGATGTTGAAGAGGAAGAGACCAAGCTGGCCAATCTCCTTCTCGACGCCAAAATCCTTGCACATGCTGCCGATACCGGAAGAGTAGGCCGTCGTCGCCAGACCGATGGTCAAGGTCATCAGGCACAGAAGAGCGGTCGAGTAGGCCTTGCGGAAGGATGACCAGTTGAAGGGGTTCTCCTTGTCACCAGGAGCAAATTCCAACAGGATGACCTCCTCGCCGTGGTCCTCGGCCGTCTTGGTGTAGGTGAGGGGCATGTCGATCTCGAGGGAGACAAGCTCGCCGCGGGTGCTGGCGTTGCCGGCGTCGGCGTTCAGGGCCTCCAGGTACTTGCCACCGCAGATGCATCCGCGCTTGGTGTTGAACTTCTTGTGGGTTGAGTTGTTGGACGAGTCGACCGGGGTCTCGCCCTCGAGGTGGGCGACATTGCTGCCCGTATTGTTATGTCTCGACGCTTTGGCAGGCATGTTGTTCGGAATTCCTGGGGTATCTGATGGGGAAGGTATCCAGCCAGCTATCGTGCAAAGATCCGGGGCAGCTTTTCACTTATATTCGCCGGCGCGGACAGCACGTGGCTCCTCAGGGACGGACATAGCTGACCAGGGCCCGGTTGTTGAGGCGGCGGCGTGTCAGTCGAGGCCGTCCGATGACGTTGGAGACCTAATCGGGTCCGAGTCTGCGGCGGATGCCTGCGTATCCACCGCGCGACACGGAGAGAATAACGAGAGCAGTGGACCGGGGCCTGGCGGGAAAACTGGGCCTTCGGGAGAGGCAAACCCGCATTGAGGCCGAGGAAAATGCGGCGCTAGGACAGCCTTATCGCTTGCCGAACCGGCAGGCCCTGTCGATCAGACGATCCGAAAAGAACCTAGCCATGGCGGACGACGGCTTGAAGGCGCCGCTTAGAAGCGGGCGTGGCGCGCGCGAGGGCTGGCGTGGACGCGGCTTCCTCTGTGGGAAGTAAAAAAAAAAAACGAGCCGCTGTGCTGGCCCATGATGTCAAGCCGGGGGAAAAGGCGAAAGGCGAAAAGGCTACTGTGTTTCTTCCGCAAGCTTTCGGCGGAGGGCCTTGGCTGCAACGTCCGTACGGTAACATTGGCGGACCGGCGTGTCCCCCTAGCGGCCTGAGGCGTGACACGGTGGGTCGTTCGGCGCAGGGGCCCGGCACTAGCACGGCAGTGGCTCTGCGCCGCAACATCGGCACAGACACAACAAAAAAAAGAAGGTTTGTCGCAGGAAGCTGACAACTTGGACAGGCCACAGGACGAAACGACGCCCAAAACCCTCGATGATTGTCGCGCTGGCGAGTCGCGCCCGCGGCGACCGCTCCCCTTCTCGGTAGTGGAGACGGACAATCTGGAGCGCGCGTGCACAGTGCGCGCTGCAACACCACGACCACACCACTTTTCGCTCCCTGCGGTGGGTTTTATGGGGCGGATTCGCTGGGCGCGGCCCTCGGCGCCGCTTCTGGTCGAACGACGTGTGGGGAGCCCGCACCAGCTGCTCCTCGTGCCCCCAATTCCCCTCGAGCACCCCCCCCCTCCCGCGCCTCCCCAGCAATTTTCCCCGTACGAACGAGACGGGCGAGCGACATGGAGAAGACACGACGAGCCGGGGCCGGTCGGTCGCAGGCAGCCGGGCCGCGCGGGCGTCTGTTGTTTCCTCTGCGCTCTCGCAAAGCAAATTTCGGCAGCTCGCCGGGCCGGGAACAAACAGTTCGGTGGCTCTGACGTAAAGCGGCTCTTCCGCTCACCGTCCAAGGACAGGCAGGCAGAGGTGAAGCCAAGCTGCAGCAGGATTCCTGCGCGTTCGTGTTTGTCTCGTCGCCGGACGAGGGCCCGAGCGCCCCGCTCAGCTAAGCTAGGCGGGCGGTCGTCGTCGGTGGCGCTGTCCAACGCTCGTCATCGATGGGGGTCGGTCCTGAAAAAGTCTGAGCGCCGCCGACACAGACGTGTTGCAAGCCTTGCTTGTCGGCCAATGGTTTCCGCGCGCGCGTTGTCGTGTTGTTTGTTGTTTATGCTCGACTCGACACCGCCGTCGTCGTCGCGGCGCGCTCCTTTTCCCCTTCCTTCCCCCCATCCCCCAATCCGTCTTCTACCTAGCAGCGCAGCCCGCTTCCCCAAAAAGTCGCGCAGGTGGAGTGCCAGCTTGACACGCGGATTGACACGCGCAGATCGCGCGAGTCGCTTGCGGCGGGATGGTCTCCCCATGAGGGAGGCGGTCGAACCCAAACACGGGATTTGGTCGCAGCGGATGCCGCGTAGCCGGGGCGCGTGCTCCCTCCTCGCTCCTCACGCTCCTCCTCCACAACCCGCATGCTGGCGCTGCTGCGGCTGCGACAGTCCCCCGTGGAGCGCCCGCCCGCTCGGCATATTGGGACGCCCGAACCCGCTATACCGCGATCGGCCTGCTCTGCTGATTGCGAGGTGCGCGCGTGCCCAGTTTCATCCGATCCGAAACGCTGGAGTCGCGAGATCTCTGGCTGCGCGATCGTCGTCGTTTTGTTTTTTTTGGGCAGCAACAGTAGCAGCAGCAGCAGCCGGGTTCATGCAAACAGGTGATCTTGGACGACCTCGACCCCCTCGATCCTTGATCTCGACCTGGGCGCGTTCACGGCCCTCCCTCCCAACAACGAGGCGTCCCCTTGTCCACCGCCGTCCCAAGGCCCTTCGACGCCGCTTCCAGAATCCTTCCATGCAGGGAAAAACAGGCATCCACGCACCCACTCCCAACCCACACCGAGCCCCTATTCCAGTGCGGCGGTGGCGAAAGCACGGCGGGGACGGCGGGGATGGCGGCAGCCAGCTGGCTGGCTGCTTGGCTAGATGGATGGTTCGTTCCGCCCGTCGTCATGCCGGCAGTAGTTGGGCCCTTCACCATCGAATCACACATTGCATTCAAAACGTACAATAGGCACTACTAATCGTGCCCGACGCCCGACGCAGCGGCCGGAGACAGCGCTCCGATCTGTGCGTGCGAGCGAGCGCGCAGAACAAGTGGGCACCAACCGGTCACCCGCATGGGCGCTGCGGCCCCCGACTCGCGACGAGGGTTCTGCCGCCTCATACAATCAATAGTCATCAGCCTCGCCGCCTGCCAGTGCCCGCACAGGCACCAAGCGGCAAGCCTCACTTTTGCGTTGCGCGACGCCAGCATTGCGTGGGCGCGGAGCCCGCTGATTGGGCTCGCCCTGTATAAGGCGCGGCGCCGGCAGGGTCTGTGAGGCTTCCGTGCCGCTGCCGCTGTCGCTGCCGCTGCCGCTGCCGCCCCTGAGGCGGACGGTTGGGGTCACGCATCTACATTTTGCGACGTGGAGCGTGGAGGGCGTGGGTACTGGACCCTTGGGCTGCGATGGGTTGCTTGGATCTGTGCTTGTAGACACACGGTTGTTGTTGGTGTGGACGGGTAGGTGCGTGGTTGGGTTGGGTTAGGTAGGTTGTAGGTAGGTTGTGGGCTGTGGGCTCCTCCTCGCCGTCCGTCGTTGTTGTCGTTGCTATTGTTGTGGTGGTGGTAGCAGTCAGCATAGAGTGTGGCTTGCAGCCCGCCCGCATAGGTAGGTTCCTTGGCCATGCGGGGGCCGCCTCACCCGGGCAGGTATACCGAGTCGCAGCACGCGCGATATGATTATCCGCCTGGCCGTTGTGATGGACGCGCACGCGGTACGGATTACATTGGCACCAAGAACTTGCGTAGGTGTGTTGTGTTGTGTTGTATGTAGGAACGCGACATGTATGCGTGCGTCCACTGTACGTATGCAACTGCAACTGCAACGCAACGCAACGCGGCGCAACGCAACGCAACGGCCATCGTTGTTCTCTCCTACTCCACATGTTCGTCGCGATCTGCCCGCCCGGCGCGAGGCGGGCCCTGCTCTTGTTCCTGGTCCTGGGTCTTGGTCTTGGTCTTGACCGCTCGTGGTAGGAAGGTAGCTAGCTACATACCTGGTAGCTGTGTGTTGCGGGTACGGTTGGACAGCGGGCTGCGTGAATTGCTGGATAATGGATAGGATAGGCAGGAGGGCCGTCTATCATCTTGTGCGTGTGGTTGCGAGAATTCGCTCTTATGCTGCTGTTCCCCGCCGTTGTGCTGCTTGCTTGCTTGCTTGCTTGCTTGCTTGCACACTGGATTGGATGGATTGGTGCCCAGCGTCGTTCATCGCGCAGCGTCTCATCACGTCCGTCCATCACGCCCGCTCACAACCCAACGACATCGATGATGACGACGAGGACACGCGCCCGCCATTGTCCCCATCACCCAGTGCTCATCAGCGCGCATCCTCCGTCTCCGTCCTCCGTCCTCCGTCGACCTGCGACGCGCGCCCCGCCATACAATATGTCCATCACCAGCGATCGCTATTCCCGAGCCCGCTATTGTATTGTACAATATTGATGCCCGCAGCCCAGCACGCTCTTCCGTCGTCGTTGTTTGAGTCTCCGATCCGAAACATGCTGTTGTTGTCATCGTTGCGGGTGCCTTGCCTGATGCGGTAGCGCCGCCGCCGCTGCTCTCCGCTGCCTCCGCCGACCACGACGACGACGGTGATGATGATGACGATGCGGGCGAAGGAGATTGATGATGATGATGGAGGAGGTGGTTAGGCTGAAACGTCTAGGCGGCCGCGCTGGTGGTCACGCGCGTCATTGTCACTGCCGACCCGGAGGAGGACGGGCGGGTGTTTACGGACGAGACGAGTCGACGACAGTACGGACGAAGACGGGCTCGTACGAACGAAGGCTCGTAGGTACGTATGCCAGTGCGCGCAGGAACGCTGATTTGATTTGGGTTGATTCGCATGGGGTCCATGATTCTCCGTACATACGCAGTCACGCGCAGCGAGATCATGCTGTCCGCACCGCCGCACCGCGCCTCAGCGCATCGCAGTGCTCCTCCAACCTCCGCCCTCGAGTCTGGACGCCTGCGCTGCTGCCACTGCCATGGCCATGCTCGCTGCGACGCTGTCCTGGCAGCTGGCATGGCATGGCCATAGACACGGAAGGCAAGCACGAGCACGAGCCACAGCGCCGCTCCCGCGCCCGCGCGCCCGCGCACCCTGGCACACGCTCTTAAGCAAAATCGAAGCTTAGGCCTTGCAGGCGAAACGACACAGGACGGCGCGGCGATGCAGTTGCATCCCTAGGCAAAACACAACTAATCTTGCCCAGTCCTATCCAATCCGACCTAACCCGCACGCACTGTCGCAGTCCCGCTCGCTCACTCACACGCACGCACGCTCGCTCGCTACCCCCGCAAGGACGCGCTCCCAAATCGCGAGACCATCACACGAGCCTCACTCTCTCGCCGCTATCTCGGGCCCCCGCGGCCCACGCACGCACGCTCTTACACACAGGAGTCAGGGCGCTGTCGGTGAGCGCGGGACAGCAGACAAAGGTTAAAAAAGAAGGCTAAGGCCAAGGCTAAAGCTATGGCTAAAAAGCTTGCTGGCAGCCGCCCGGTCGTCGGCGCTGCCCGGGCGCGCGTGTGCGTGTGCGTACGGTGAGGCGCGGGGTGTCTGTGTCCCGCGTTCCGTGTCCGGGCTCGGCGACCGTGTGTCACTGTCGAGCGAGAGAGAGAGAGAGCAGGATGGTGGATCTGGGAAGCTTGCTTCTTTCGATGCACCCACTGCTGGACTGGGGACCCGCTGTTGGGCGCTGATGCGTGACGGCTGGGCTGGGGGGTGCGTGCGTGCGTTGGGATCAGGTGCGTGCTGTGATGTAGGCAGGTAAGTAAGTGAGGCGTGCGGTATGCGATGGCGGCGGCAGTGGCTGCGGACGGGAGGGCGGGAACGCAGTGCAGTTCAGTTCAATTTATCTGCAGGGCGGGCGGGTGGCGACTGGCGGGAAGGGGGATGAGGTGGTGGCCTTGTCGCCTTGTCGCTGTGGTAGACGTGGTGGTGGTGTTGGTTCGAGTAGGTAGGTAGGTGTTGTACGACGCGCCTCCTTGCCAGCTGGCTGGCTGGGTGGCTGGTTGCGAAGGACGCGTTCACTTTACGGTTACTGTTACTTTTGCCTACTCAGAGCCTACATAACTACTCGATCCGGAAATCGGTTCAGTAGAGGTGGGTAGATGGTAGATTAGGTAGGTAGGTCGAGTGAGTGGTGTGATGGTGTTAGACTTTGCAGGAATAAGTAGGTAAGTAAGATGAGGTGATATGAGGTCTCTCTCTCTCTCTCTCTCTCTCTCTCTCTCTCTCTCTTTCCTTCTATCTCTATTCATTCATCCTCTTTCCCTCTCTATCCTCCTCCAATCTTTCTCGTTCGACGACGACAACGACGACGACGACGACGCCTCAAACCCCTCCCCTCCCCTCCCCTCCCATCTACCTCCTAGATCCTATCCCGCGGCGTCCACCCCGCCCATCGCTCCCGCCCCTATCAACGCGTACGCACGCGCACGAAACCACAAGAAACCGCACGAAACCGTACACAGCGCCGCCACTGCCGTAACCGTATCGATCGAGACAGGAGAGTGCGATGCGATGCGATGCGATGCGTGGGATGAGATGAGATGAGATGGGGATGGGACAGGGCAGGACAGGGCAGGTACCGCGTGTGCCCCAGCGTCGAGCGGCAGCGCACCTTACGCGGCATCGGCCAGGCGAGCGAGCGAGCAGGCAGCGCAGAGCGATACCACGTACCCGCGAGCTCTGAGTCGCGTGCTTGATACCTGCTTAAGCTAGGCTAGGCTGGGTAGAAGACACTCTGCACGTGTGCTTCGCTGAAGTGTTTCTGATGTGCTTCGCTGAAAGGGATGCGGGTGCTAGTCGCTTACCTAGGGTTTAGGCGGGCGGGGAGGGTGCGTGGAGGGCGTGTTGTTGTTGTTGTTGTTGTTGTTGTTGTTGTTGTTGTTGTTATTGTGGTAGTGGTGGTGTATGAGCGGGCTAGACTGCTGTTTTTGGTGCCGGTAGGTGCCTAGGTAGGTAAGGTATGGCGGCGATGGTGTAAAAGTGAGTGCGTGGGAGTTGGCGTAGTGGCGTAAATGATATAGCCACGCATGGAGGGACAATCGCGGAGAACCCTTCAGGAGAAGAGACGCTGGTCTTATAGTGTGCTCTTTTTGCATCTTTAATAGCCAGGCTGTTCACAGGGTGGCGAGCTCTACGACTTACTTACAGCCCATCACAACCAACCACATCCTCCAACCAATCAAGCACCTGGTAATAGATGAGGCCTAATATGCCCGGAACGTCTGTGCCTCCGACTCTAAACCGCTCAACTCAACACCGGGACCCAGTTTCGAACTCCTTCCACTGTTCCGTCCGCACACATACATAGCAAAGCACATCACCATCTCCACAACATGTCAAGCCGCTTCTCCAGCCGACAATGCCGAGTTTCACCAGCTTGTAATCAAGGCGTAGAACACCAACACCACCACCACCACTAGCAATAGCAACCCCATTTCAAAGGACAGACCACGTTCGCTTCGCCTGTCCCGTTTCATTACATAGTCCCCCCTCCTGTGAGCTTGTTTCTCAGTGTTGGCCAATCTTCAAGAACTTGCTGATGAGCTGTAGCAGGGAAGGCTATTATTCTCGGGCACACTGGATTTGCTGCTGCGGCTATGGCTGCGTGTGGGACGAGCCCTTTCCTTTTATTGCGTTGGAAGTGTAGCTGGCCCTTTGTTTTGCAGCTTTAGGAACATGGTCCTTGCTCATAATATAAGAATGAGATACATCTCTTAGTGGCAGACAATTAGCTGAATAGCAGTTCGTTGGCGATGGAGTTGATACCACAACATCCAACCATGAATCAAATGATTTGGTGTCACAGAGAACGGTGAAAAACAAAGCATTCATGATCGATTTTGTACGTAGCATTGACGTTACTCTACGCAAGCGAATCGTTGCATCAACTCTCAGAGATCAAGCCATCTGTCCGATACCAGAAACAGCAAAACGTGTCCGCAGCCCTTCCTCTCTACGCTCTACCAACACATTCAGACCTCAAAGTTACACCCACACATACTGCTCACCGAAACTCTAAGAAGCATGCTTCGCCTTGATAGCTTCCGCCACCTTCTCAGCAATAGCGTAGAGCGTGCTCGTCGCATGTCCGGCCATCTGGAACGGGATAACCGAACCGTCCACGACGCGAACGTTTGCTGTGCCGTAGACGAGGAGGTTGTTGTCGACGACACCGCCGAGCTCGCGCGGCAGCATGGCAGCAGTGGCGATGTAGTGGTAGTTGGTGCGGTCTAGTTACAATGTCAGTATTTTGCGGCGCAAACAAAAGGCACGAGAAGGATACGTACAGGTGTTCTTGATCCACTTCGCCCAATCGGCATCATCAGCATTTTCCGGCACGACATCCAGACCGGGCTCAGTCTCATTGGTGATGTGCTGTTTCAGAGACGAGGTGTTTGCGAGGCGACGTGCCATCTTCGACGCCTGAACATGTACATGCATGTCGTAGTCCATCATGAAGAAGTTAGGGTTGATGTCGGGCTTGCAATGGGGGTCCCCAGAGGTGATGTGAATATTGCCGCGCGAGAAGGGCATCAAGGGCCAGTACGACACGAACATGGACGAGGTAGAACTCGATCCCACGAGAATCTCGACGGCTGGGGTGTCGGTGTTGAATAACAGGTCGTGCTGGATGCCGTAGAGACGCTCGAGCGCGGTCGCATTAACAGCGCCGCCGGTGGCGTTGACGACTTGTTCAGCGTAGCTCTTGATAGATGAAGCGACGGTGTCGTTGAGGCTTACAACGGCGGGCTGTAGCGGGCCAACACCATCTTCGCCGCTGAATAGGTCCTTCATGGTCAAGTACGCAACGTAGGCACCGCCGCTGGAAGGGTTGGGTTTACTGGAAAATACCATGCCAGAGTTGGCTTGGTCTTGGAGGTTCTCTCCAACGGAGGGAAGGTCAACTACAACGTCAATTCCAAACTTCTTGAGGATGCTGCGGTACGGTCAGTGATGAACGGTGAGATGGGGGAGAGGGGGAGTGGCTTACGCAGAGTTTCCGACGCCTGAATGCTCGAGGATAGGTGGCGATCTCAAGGCACCTGCAGACAAGATGACTTCACGGGTAGCTTCGAAGAATTTCTGTTCGCCGCTCGCGCAGGTGACGTGCACTCCGCTAGCGACAGGCTTTCCGGAAGGCGACGACATGTTTATTGGCTTCTCCCAAGTGATGAAATCGACAGAAGTGTTCAAATAAAGGTGAAGGTTCTTTCGGTCGGCGATGGGCCAGTAATATGCGCGTGCAGCGTCTTCCCTAACATTCTCAATACGGCGGACAGTCCTCGGATAAAGAGAGAAGCCACGCATCTCGCCATCATTGGGATCCTGGTTGAAGGGAATATCCATCGCACCGAAGGTCGAAACGAGAGTCGTAATGATGTCGCCATACATCATGTCATTGACCCAACCCACGTACAAGTTTCCCATGTAGCCGTGAACTTTAGGACCGTAAGTGGCTCCAGCTGCGACCTGCATTGCGGAGGGCCACTGAAAGTGCTCGCTCTTCTTGTAGTAAGGGAGGAGGGTCGTCCAGTTCCATCCGTCGTTTCCGAGACGCTCCAACGCATCAATCTGAGCCTTCTCAGCGCGGAGGTAAGTCATACCTAGGTGAACATGTCAGTATAAGGTATCAGTCAGATAAGATCCAACTTTACCGTTGATGGTGCTGGTGCCACCCAACGCCTTGCCAGCCCTCATGGTCTGAGTCTTGTTGCCAGCAAAAGCCTGAGGGACAGACTCGTACTGCCAGTCGATGGAAGAGCCGAAGGCCTTGCCATAGCCTTCGGTAGTCGTGACGTTGGGGTTATTCAAGACGGAGTCGCCGGCCTCAATGATTGCGACGGAGACGTCGGGATCCTTGGACAGACGGTTGGCGATGACGAGGCCTGAGGTACCGCCGCCAACCACGATGTAGTCGTACTTGTTGTCTTGGATGGGGGAACAGTTGGCTGTGAGAGCTAGCACAGCCGCGGCAAGGAACGCGGAAACGAATGTGGGAAGCATGGTGAAGGAGTGGTCTGGAAGGATTGACGAGAAGCGACCGGGTGGAAAAGGAAAGCTCTGGGGTGGGAGAGCGGGGAGGGGAAGGAGCTTATATATCTGAGGGGGGGGGGGGGGGGGGGGGGGGGGGGGGGGGGGAGGCGTGGGTGACTGCCCGTTTGTGCGGATGACCTCATTGGTCGTGACTGCCCAACCTTACCTAGTGACAGGTACGGAGGAATGTAGGTCGCATGTTTCACCTTGCGTCTCTGTCAGTGCTTTATCGTCCTGTTAAACCCGGGTTTCGGAAGTGACTGGATTTTTATCCACGAGCCTGGTGTGCGGAATGAGCCCCATCTTGGGTTCCGGCGCGTGCTGTGCTTTGTGTTAGCTGACAGGATACCGGGTTTGCCGGCGCCTTACTGCGGGGGGGCCCTAGTATCTACCATCAGATGAACATACTAAAAGATTTAGTGCTTAGAATCACCTACAGATACGTCCTGAATCTGCTTAAAGGTTATTCGCTATCATGTCTCTTCCTAGTAGCCTACCTTTAAAACTTGCAGCCAACGTTGTGACACGAATCCATTTTCCCGTCCAATCGCAAAGAAACTTCCCTTTTGGATTCCCATACTCTTACGTCTTTTCAAGCTACAGTGCCACCTACCACGAAGTTCCTTGCATCGGCAACTACTTCATTCGCGCTTTGCTAGGTCCCGAGTCACAACCCCAGGAGCACCGAGACCGAGCCCTACAATCCCATCGCCATTGCGACTGTCAGTGACCGTCCCAACCAAGCCATCCATGCGACTAAGCTTCTGCAGGTCGTGATCTGCCCGTCCAATCGGCGCCAAGTTCTGCAGCCCTATGTTTGACCCGATTCTCGCAACCGCAAACGCGTCCAACGCTGAAGTCCATATTGGCACTCGCCCTATGTACCAAACAACGTAACTCAGCCCCAGCACCTGTAGAGCGATCAAAGTGCTAATGATCACAATCCCGGTCGTACTGACGTCCGGCTTGATAATGGTTGCCCCGGGCGCAGTGTAGATCGTCCGTGAGCCTTGACTATATGTCTCGTCGACTGTTTGGGCCAGTGTCTCGTGACTTGCAAGGAAGATGCTTGCTTTCAGCAGCTCGCGGGCGTTTTTAGTATCGTTCCAATACCATAACCACCCGTTCATGAGCCGAGCCAGAGTCCTGCTACTCGTGCTATCCTCATCCAATGTTTTGTTACAATAGTCAGGCATTTTGCCAAACATATTATAACTGTACCGCGCGAAGGGTATGTTGCCTTGTCGGCAAATTTCGTCCCTTGCGGCTGCTGCGCTGCTTCCGTTCGAACTGGCTGCGATATGGAAGAAGCTTTCATTGCCGAAGATGGCAATTGCTGACGTCATGAGTGGCCCGGAGACGTTAAGACTATCAGTGCCATACGGGTCGAGTGACTTACCATGGGCCCAAAAGACATGGTCCTGGCCAAAACTTGGGTAGTCAGGGACGTATTCACTTAAAAATGTTAGCTTTGACCATTCGGCTATGATGGTGCAGCTTACGTTTCGCCTGGGGGGCGGTTATTCTTGAAGCGCAGCATGTCATTGAAATCCCGAGTAAGCTCATCCATGCTAGGCCACTTGTCTAATAAAGGTCCTGGCGCATATCCGTTTCGATAGTTCCCGAGCTCGAAGAACCCCCTGGTGGTGTTTGCCTGGCAGTGAAGGGTAAAGTTTTTGCGGTCTGATTCATTGAAACCCAGTGAAGGCGATACCATAACATCAAAATACATTTCCTCGGTTATGTCCTGGCGGCTACGAGTCAACGTCCAAGGCAGGACCCCGAACTCCCCAGGTACGCAGACAGACACATTGAGGAAGTCGGGTATATTAAGGGCAGCTTCGAAAGGTCGTACTCCCGGGCATTTTGAAGGGAAGTCCGATCTAATGGCTTGATTGCACAGCACCGAGCTGTTAAACCGGAGGGAGTGCTGACGGAAGACGCCCGTCGTGGTTCCGTTTGGCATGGCCGACACAAAATAAGTCATGGGCATCTCATCCGAGGAGTAAATCCTGAAAGACTGCTGTCGCGCTCCATCCTGACCGTATTTTTTCGCATAGGAATAAGAATTAAGCTCCGGCCACATTTGAGGATGCACTTCGGATTCCGTGACTGAAACTATGTCGTCGGCGACCCTTTTTACAACGTTGTTTTGTGGCACAAATGCCATGTCACCGGGTTCTGGATCATAGTCAATTTCGCTGGCATGGCTGGAAGGATTCTCGTTGCAAGATTTATACCCCTTGTCATAGCAAATCATCACTCTGAGGTCATCGAAAGAGACAAGAATTTGCTGCAGAGGCTGCACAATAGCACCTCGTGAATTTGTCAGTGTTATTTTGAGATGTAGAGGAGAAAACCCATACTCATCAGAAGTAACGCTGCCGCAAGCCAGAGAAAGAGGCTACTGATTCCGGAGCGTGGGTACCGAGCGGCCTTCCAGAGTGTTTGTATATCCGTCCAACCACGATCAGCCAAAGCAAACACTTGCCTAATGCTGAGATGGTGCTCCTGGCTTGTCCTTTGGCTATACACTACTGCTGCCTGGGAAAGTAGGGCGCCAATGACCGGGACAGTGGCAACACTTGCCAGGGAGTTCAACAAGCGTATGAAAACAACTGTAACGGAAATAGAGCGGAGCTGGCTGTTTGACAGACCCACGGCTTGGTTGTAATACGACGGCGCTGTAAGAGGTCGCTTTGACAAAATGCAAGTCAGGATCCACGGCAAGATCAGAACGGGCAGGTAGAACATAAGCAAACAGACGGCCCGTCGGTGAGTCCATTCTAACAATGGATGTGAACCATTTCGTGTACTTTTGTTGGGTGAAAGCTTCTCTGTCGAAGGTGACGACTGGGGACCTTGATCAGAGAGTCGACGAGTCCCCAGAAAGCATTGGGACTCGGCTGATGTACTCTTTGCTTGAACACTGATTTCGTCCATGGGGAAGGTTTGCAGAGAACGAAATGTTTAGCGAAAGTACAGGGAATTTGCGAGAACCTGATGAGGATTTAGACTTATTTCCGAGCTGCAGAAGATTAGCCCTGAGGGATAGTTATGAGAAAACTTCCTAAAAAATGCATCCTATCGCTATTGAGACAGCCTTGCGACTTGCGTCATCTGCAACAGCGCTGGACAGACTGAAGCTCTGATTGGTGACGATCCGCGGAGGCGGGCCTTAGCGAAACCTGAATGTTGCTATTTAAAGCCTCTGTCCGCCTGCCTCGGAAGTGATGAGCGAGGAGTACGAGCCGCCAATGATTGTGACACCTACAGATATAGATAACCTTGCGAGCGCCCCCAATTCAAGGCCAATGTCACCTGATACTTACTATCCTTCACCGATTGGTACGGAGTACTCGGTCAGAACCGTCGAGAGGCATCTTTTTGGTCAGACTCCCGGAAAATTGTTGGCTTACGATGCAAACACAAAATTGAATGGATTGTTGACTGCAGTGATGACCACCATGGAGTAGACAGCGGCGATCTAGACACGTACGCTCATCGAACTCCCACGAACGCCGAGTATAACCGGATATAAAGAGAAACGAAGCAAGCACCGGTACCTATGCTTACTGACCTAAGCAACGGCGATGGGCAAGCCAAGTGGCCCGTGGCTTTGCTTATTCTGACGTCCGTCACTCGACTCGACGGGCGATGGCAGACTGATGCTCCTCGGCCAGCTTGGCATGGCGGCAATTCTTCTCAAAGGTGAGGAGCGATGGGTTTTGTGGACTCTCGATCCTGTGTCCTGCTTCGTCGCGTCGTGTCGCGCTGCGGTGTTGAGTTTACGGGCGCGTCAACCGCCAGGCCGCGTTGTTGACAAAGCTTCAGCGAGATTTAGCCGTGCCGGGTCGTCCCTGCGCGGTTAGGCAGGTTGCAGGACTGGCTTCTTCGCACAACCATCCAACACCACACACAACCTACCGCCGTCACCACCACAAAGGGCCCAAATACCCAATCCCTCCTCCATGGTGCATCGAAAATGGATCCTGCCAGTCCAGCAACCCAGCCCTCCCCCACGTGCCTCAGCCATAGCTGCACGAAGGATGAACGCGGTCCCCTTCGAGGCGAAGTCGGTCAAGCAAGGAAGAGGTCATCAAGCAATATCGAGGCAATAAACCCGAGGCAGGCTTACAGCGGAGCTGGGTCCCGAATATGGAGATGGTGGTTTGATACCTGCTTGTTGAGAGCCTACGGGTACCCTTACTGATTGACTGGTTCCACTCCAGAGAAGGCCCACCTTCATGCACATCCACGCGCGTCTCATCTATCGTCAATCTCTATCACGAACCTCGCGCGACAGCCGCGAAACGCACCACCAAACCCATCACACGATGCGCACACCGCCTGCAACCCAGTCACACATCCATGATCTAAAGCCCGAGCTTCCAGCGGGATCAACACGATCAGCACGCTAGCCAGATCATCGGCAAGCCACAGGGCCCAGCGTCAGACAGCCAGCGCAGCCACCATGCCTACAAGCGGGTTAGACTACCCGGAAAACATGTTCAGTTGCACCGAGAGAGGGCGCGATACATCGCGTATAAGAACCGCCGGGCAGCGTGCAAACCGCCTCTCGCGACCGCCAGCCAGTCACCCTCATACACCGCGTCGATGTCTCGCGCAGCTCAATATCACAACATGGCTTTGAACCATGCCGCGCAGCTCAAGCAGTACGCGCAGCGCCTTCCTCGCTTCAGCAGGCAGGACCTCAAGCCCTACGCGGCCGAATTCCTGGGCACCGCTCTCCTCATCGTCATCGGCGAGGGTGTTATCGCGCAGGTCCTCCTCTCCGACTACCAGAACGGCTCCTGGCTGTCTATCAACCTCGCCTGGGCCGCCGGTGTCATGTTGACTGGGTTCCTTTCCTCACCCTCGCCAACCGTCAACCCCGCCCTCACGCTCACGCTCGCTCTCGTCCGTCCCTCATCCCAGCAGCGCCGCCAGCTCTTCGGCAAACTCCTTGCGCAGTTCCTTGGCGCGTTTGTTGGCGCTGCCATTATTTACTTCACCTACCGCTCCGCGATTCTCGCATGGGATCCTGAGTACACGATCCCTTGGGGCTCGATTCTCAGCCCCAAAGGGCATCACAGCGCCGGCATCTTCGCGACGTACCCTTCGTCGCTGCTGAAGTCGAACTGGGAGGCTGTGCTACAGGAGGGCTTGGCCAGTGCAGTGCTCATGTTCTGCGTGCTCAGCATCGGTGACTCGGCAAACGCTGGTTTCGGCGCGCCGCAGGTGTCCGTGTTTGTGCTTATGGTGGGCATCGGCTCTGCTTTGGGATGGCAGACTGGTTACGTACGTTCTTTCCTTACCTTCTTACCACCCATTCAGACACACTACTAACACTGCTGCTAGGCCATCAACCCTGCCCGCGACTTTGGTCCCCGTCTCTTCTCCGCGATCATGTACGGCCGCGAAGTCTTCACCGCTGCTGGCTGCTACTTCCTGGTTCCTCTGTTCGCGCCGGTGCTGGGATGCCTGGTCGGCGCGTCTGTTTATGACGCTTTCCTGTTCGAGGGCGAGGGCTCCGTCGTCACTGACGCGGTCGAGAAGGTGGTGTCGGAGAGGGACGGTGCGCTGAGATTGGACGACTAGAAGGATAGAAGTGTCGAGGTGGAAGAAATGACGATCTGCTGACAGTGTGGGTGTGTATGTTCATATTTACCGACGGATGGGGATGACTTGTTAAGTGAAAAGTCTTACGGGATACGACGACATGACGGGACAGATAGGTTACGAAGACACGATAGACATAGACCAGCATAGAATCGATTGCTTTTATCTACCCCCTCGCGGGATAAAATTGTGGGACGATTGCACCAACAGACAGTATCACAAAATGAAAACCCCGCAACAACAAGGCCGCGCGAAGTTTCCCAGGAGCAGCACGAACCCAACCGTCTCCATCAATACCAGCCACGTGCTCACAGCCACAAACAAACCCCATTCCCAGCTCTTGTCTCTTGCCTCTTTGGCTGTGAGGATTTGAATGAGCTCTTGGTGCGTTAGGGTCGTGGTGGCTGGGGGCTGAGCTAGGTTCTTTTGTGCTTGCTTCTGTGCTTTCTTTTGGGCTTTCTTTTGTTGTCGATTCTTTCGACAGCTCTTCGTTTGTTTCCGGCACATCCTTGGAGGGCTCTCTTCGTTGTGCCTCAGCTCCCTGTATGGGGTGGGCGGAGGCGACTGGTGACGCAGTCTGTGCATGCGCAACTCTTCGGCTTTGAGCGCCAGGCAGAAGTAGCAGCATGGGGTGTGTGGGTTTGTGGGCTGAGCTTCTTGCGGTGGGTCGGCTTCCAAGGGCTCCCTTTGCTGTCTTTCAACCCCCTGAGTGTGGTTGACAGGCGCTGCTGCTGATCCCGGTTCATCATCGAGGAATGGGAGAGGTTGTTGTTGGCTTAGAGTTGGGGCCGGAGACTGAGCTTCTTTTGAGCTTTCTTTACGGGACCCTTCCTTCGAGGACTCTACTTTTGGAGGCTCTCTTTGCTGTTCTTCTACTTCTGGCGCTCGGGCGGCTCCCGCTATGGATTGCTTTCCGCGCGTGCGCTGCTCTTCAGGTTTGAAGACAAGACGAATGGAGTGGCAGGGTGGAGGTGTGCTTGTGGATTGAGCCTCTTTTGAGGTCTTTTTCTCCGACGGCTCTTTTTGCGTGGGCTCTTCTTGTGAGGGCCCCCCTTCTAATAACTCCTTTTGTTGACTTTCCGCTTTCTGTGCTCGTTCGGATTCGGCTTCTGCTAGTTGCTCTTCGCGCATGCGCCGCTGCTTTTCGGCTTTGAGCACAAGGTAAAGGGGCTGAAGAACTGGGGGTGAGGTGGCCGGCTGGACTTTGTTCAAGGACTCGTCCTCCAACGGCTCTACTATTGGTTGTTTCCCTTTCGCTTTCGCTGATAGTTTTTTTGCGTTCGATGATTGCCCTCCCTCTTCTACTGATTGCGCTCTCATGTTTGTTGATCCTCCCGTGGGTTCTTCGTTTGTTTTTACGGGTCCTCCGAAAGGGTTGCTAAGTGTGTTCGCTGGTTTTTGTTTCTCCGCTATTCTCTTCGATGATTCTCCTTTCAGCGAATATCCTTTCTCCGATTTTCTTTTCAACGATTCTCCCTTCTCATGCTCTTTGAGCATCTGCGAAGCTTCTCCAGATTCATCGTGGAGCCTGAGGGCATTGGACGAGCTCATTTCGTATGTTGACAAACTCTGACTTTCCTTCCAATCGTGCTAACATGCAGTCAGTAAAGTGTTCGCACTCTGGCATTCAAATACCCACAATCGCAGCCATTTCTGTTTCATACTGAGGCCCCAGTACCCTCTTGACCATGGCAATTATCCGGCGCCCACTCGTAGCAAACCTCATCATTTGATCCTCGGTTATGGGTAAACAATGCGCTACCGCATTGCGGATAAGTCTACACATACGCAAGTCTCTGATGAACTTCTTGCGCTTTTTGGGCGATACTCCTCGGTGTTCAATGGGGTCTTCATCGCCCTCGCAGAAGTCCAAAACAGCGGTGGCGATGTGGGGCAACTCGGCAGCAGCATAGCAGGGCCAGTGGTGCTCTTCGATGATAGATGGCCGCAGCACGCGGCAGAAATTGAAGAGCACCATCTGCAGTTGCTCCTGCAACTTGTGCAACTGCAGCTGGGTCTCGACAAAGCTGTAGGCGGCGTGAGCTTTGCTTGTTGTTCTGATTAGACACAGATGGTCGGTAGAACAAACCTGTCTGCACCCCTTTCGGCGACAGGCGGGATTTGCTGTGCTGGAACTGGAGCTGAGGATTGTATGCCCGACATGGTTTAAAAGTGAGGAAGGTGCAGAGTGCCTGCTTCTAGCTGATGGACCTGTTTCGTGCGTTGCATAAGTCTTGTCCTGGTGTTCTCTGACAACACTTCGCGTTGTTTGATAGAAGCGCACAATCATTATAACCCATTCCCCCTGCGCCGGAAACATGACGTAGGACTGCTCACTTCATCACAGGCAGGTTTTATGTCGTCAATGGCTGCAAAGAACGGCCTTGCGCTTATCCAGGGATGCGCATCATATATTGTAGATACGCAGTAAGCGCTAATTTTCCAGTATCCAGAAATCCCTTGCCACGGCTAAAGGTTTACAATCTACCTATCTTTCACTTACTCACACCTCAAATGCCTAAAATTTAGTGTACCAACACGAGCTCCCTGAAAGGATCAGTTCTCTCACAGCTTATACTTCAACCTCGTCTCCTCCATATACCACGCCGTATCCCCCTCACCATTCCCCTCAATCTTGGTCAACCCGTTCCCCAAACCACGGAAGCGATTCTTGCTGCGGTAGCGCACGTCAAAGTGTTCACCACCCATATGATCCAGACACTCCTTGAAGTGCAAAATACTCCCCGGATACGGGCCAGTCACCCACCCGATGTGTTTTCCATTCTTGTACCAAGACCGGCATTCATCAGCCCAGGTCGTCCGCTTGAGGAACTCCTGGGCCCAGACGTTGTAATCCCTGACAGCAGCAGGAAGCGGTTCGACGGATCTAGTATACTGTCAGCCGACGCCTCACACCAGGAAGGAGCGACTTACTTGATATCTTCGGTCGCAATCTTGCGTGCCCACCGCAGAATATAGTCGCACGTCCACATTATCTGCGTCAGCACACTTCCATGGCTAATGGGGCAGTTCGGGCCATTGAACATGAAGAAATTCGGCATCGAGTCAACCTGCACAGCGAAAAAAGCCTGCGGATCCGTCTTCCAGCGCTCCTCGAGTGTCGCGCCATCACGCCCGACAAGCTTCCAGCTGGGCACGAAGTTGGTATCGAAGCCCGTGGCACAGACGATCATGTCGAAGGCTTCTTCGACGCCGTTGGCAGTCAGGATTCCCCGCGGCGTAACTCGCGAGATCGCGTTCCGGTTCATGCTGCAGTTTGGCGCATCAAAAGCTTCGATATAACCGTCGCCGGGTGTGAGACGCCGGCAGCCGGGCTTGAATTGCGGGATCAGCTCTTCCGGCTTGAAGTGCGCGTGCTGCAGCTTGTCAATCCGCTCTTGCATTTGAGATTTGCTGGCGGCTTGAAGAGCCGTTTGAGCGGGATGACCGGTCAACATGCCAAAGTAGAACTTGTTCACGCTGTATAGACAAAAAATTGTCAGTGTTGTTTCTTCATGGCAACGCACTTCGGACTGTGTTTGGAAGCTGCAACTCACTTGGCCTCGAGATTCCGCCTGTACGCGAAGTGATAGTCATGATCCTCTCTAAACCGCTTCTTTTGCTCCTCACTGTAAGCATAGTTTTTGCCATTTTGGGCATCATCTGCCAAGAAGTTGATGGAGATCCATGTCGGATTGCGGACATAATTGACGAGCCTCGAGACTTTCGGCTGCATGGCAGCAACGCATTGAATACCCGATGAGCCGTTGCCGATGACTGCGACCCTCTTACCATGCCAATCATAGCTGGTGTCCCTGCTCGGGTTTTAGCCGCTTATTATCAAAGCTTTGGTGCAAATATCAGGAAAGGAGTACGCACCATTCCGCAGTGTGCATGATCTTCCCCCGGAAATCATCGAGGCCTTCGATTCTCGGCCAACTGGCCTTGCTAGTGATCCAAAGTCTTGTCAGTGCTGTTTTGACGGTAGACGACATATCAAAGGGGAACTTGCTTCAAAAACCCAGCCCCATTGATGAGAATATCCGCCTCATCCTCCTTAACTGTCCCAGCTTGGTCGACCTTGATGCGCCATTTGCCCGCGTCTTCATTCCAAACCGCCTCCACAATCTTCGAATTGAACTGCACACGCTCATCCAAGTCCCATTTGCGTACCGTCCGCTTGATGTACGCCTGGATCTCCGGGCCTGAAGCGTAAAAGTGGGACCAATCGGGGTTGGGCTCGAACAGGAAGGTGTAACAATCTGCAGCTCGTTAACTTTCAAGCCCCTTGTAATCGCTAACCATGTTCTTCGGGTCATTGCTTACGCGCAGGAACATCACTGTTTTTGATGTCAGCCGTGTTTCTTGACGCTGATGGTGAGACAGCTTGGGATGCAAAGTGGGGTCGCGGTTACACACCATGCTACGCCTGGATAGCGGTTCTCGAACCATGTACCTCCAACATCGGAGTTTTTCTCGTAGATTGTCAGGTCGAGGATGTCGGAAAGTTTGTGCTCGTGCTTTATTTTGTGGGCAAGTGTTAGGCCAGAGTAGCCTGCGCCAACGCAGATGATTTTTAATGGGCGTGGCGTGTGGAGCGGTTGTTCTAGCAGCGAGACCCAATTTGGGTGGCTTTCGAGTGGCACTGATGTGTCTGCGCTTCCAGTTTCTTTCTGTGACGAGTTGTTGTGAGATGTGCCATTAGGCAGTCCCGCTTTCTTAGTGACCATGGCCACTCAGTTTTTTCTTAAGATGAGTAGTGTTCCAGAGGACCCTTCCGGACGTGTATATTCTCGCGTGGAATGTGAAAAGAAAGAGATGGCAGAGTTACATCTCGGTGAAGACGCTGGTTTATATGTACATACCTCGCGACTAGGCCTTCTCGGGTCAAAGGATCCCACATTTTGGCTTGCCGCATACTACGGTATGTAGTAGTGAAGGTCAGTCGCCCAGCATAAGCGCCTGTTGGGATGCAAGAACGAATAGAAGCCGTTAGCTTCTAGAGTTACCGAGGATGTTGACATGGTTTTACTTCCTGTGCAAGCAAAGGCAAGCGATTATCCATTTCGGTTGTGAGGTTCGGTCATTGATTTGATCGCGGCACCGAGTCACCTGTCAAACCGTAAGCACCGGGCATGCTGTACTAACGTGTAGATCAGCAAATCTTGCTTCCATTGGCTTAGGGGACGCTGCAGTTTAGTAGAGAAGCTCCTCACCTTTTCCCACGGTTCTGGGTGGGAGGGGTATGACAACCGGCCCACAGGCCAATCAGATGCCACCTTCTGCTTACCTACATCGGCAATGTGGTTGATGCTTCCGAGTTCGAATTGCAAAAGCGGGTCTCAACATGGGGTAGAGTGGGGTATGCATGAGGCGCCACTCATTTCGCCCATTTTTATTTGGAAAATGATTGACTTTGTAATGCAGGTACAATGTTCAAAAGTAGTTGTGAAAATACACACTTGAAAATGACATTACACAGCATTGGTCAGACACTGAGAGAGTGGCTCCGAAATTAGCAAAACAAGACATTGAAAGCAAGACTTGATTATACATAGGGGCTACCTTGCCTGTAGGTAGGCAATTGTTTTAGTGGCAACTCCAAAACTCCAGAATGCTTGAACGACCCCCCTCCATGCTAGATCGATGCTCATTCAAGTCATTCCGCCAGAAGCAGGAGAACTATCCTTAGGGAACTTTCGGAAGAGGTCCGCCAAGCGATCGATGGGGGCTGACATGAGTCCTACCACTGTCTCGTAGGGTGGCTTGTCCGGAGCGGAAGGGTGGCTCCTACAAGGCAATAGTTTGATTAGCTGCTGTGAAGTCTGGGAGTGTATGTTATACAGACGTACCTGGTCGGGGTGAACATCTTGGTCCTCTCGAAACTAGTCGTCAGATCTTCCGAGTCGATCTCCTGTAACTTCTTCTCCAGTGCAGGGAGATCATGATTTTCCTCGTCCTTGATATGCTCGCTAAGTTCAGTCCAAAGAGACTGAAGGGTGGGCATGAACTCTTTATCATCGGCCTTGAGACCTTGGAACTTGTAAAGCTGCTCCTTCACCTATAAAGCAGATATTCGTCAGCTGTTAAACACGTATTTGGGTTTCCACACGAAGCACTCACAGTCTGATGCTGGCCGCGATCCTTTTCGGCCATGGTCTTGCCTTCGGTAAGGTACTTCTCCATGGCCGGGTAGACGACGAGTTCCTCGCCAATAGAGTGGCGGGCAAGCTCCCAGGTGAACTGGTTCTGCCAACGGGTCTTCTCGTCCGCGGTTGTGGCACTTTTAATCTTGTTGTAAGCATTCTCGAGCTCGCGGTGGTCCTGCTTGATGGATTCGGAGATGCGCGTCATAAGAACCGTTCCAGCAGTGAACTGACGCCTGAGGCCTGGGCTGGCCCTGGAGAGCTGGGCCGGGAGCCCGCGGCACAAGCTTCGTGCAGTGAACATGATGGTGGTGTATCTCAAAGAGTTGCTTGTGAGATACAGTTGAAAGGGATGGGCGAAGGTTGAAGCCCAAATAGGCAGGGTTAGGATTACGGCCCCGCAGTCCTCATCGTGACGTCGACCATGTCCTGCATCATCTAGGCCAATGGGCAGGTGCGCATTACGTGCCTGTGACCATCGTGGTTTCCCGTTTATGGCATCATCACATGTTGCGATGCGGAGTTGTCGAGCTAGTCCCCCTTGTCCGGAGCTGCCGCTTACTAGCGCCCGCGGGGTAGGTCGATCCTGCGCCATCATTCATCAACTCATCAGGACCTGGACAAGGCTCGATCGCAATTGACCAATCTTAAAACACTCTTAGCAATCACGCAAGTGATGTTCAGGAACGGATGGAAGTCTATCGATCTCTCTCTGTCAGAATGACGTCACGAACTACATGTTCACGAACATGCCAAATATCTATCCTGTCTGCTACTTAAATAAACAGACCACTGCCCTAAAGCTCATGTATTGTATTGCTATACTATTTGAGCCCTAGGATGTTATAGTAATGTAGGCTTATTTCGTACCTATTCGCCGCACCTACGTAACTAGCGGTGCTATAATTACTGATATATCAGCAACTAAAACTAATACTATTCCTAGAAAAAACTAGACCCAAAATTAGCAATCCTTAAGTTATCTCTTTTATAAAATATAAATTACGCTGTTAGAAGGTTTATAGTATTAACTTTCTGTTGAACAGTGCGAGAAAGCTGGACGCTGCTGTCGCATTGAATTGAGTGAAACTGTCTGCTTAAATACACGACTTCCCTTGGTAGAAAGGTGACTATCGTTCCACTAATAGGAGAGAATGGCATGATGTTGAAAAAGCAAAGTGATGACAGGGTTCGTGCTAAGCGAGATAATATAGTTATGGTGGTGATGGTTGACACTTTCTCTTTTAGGTACGTATTCAATTCGATTTTTATCTAATTTGATAAAGTACTTTAGTACGTCTTTGTCGGAACAACTCCTTTATTATTATATATATTATCACAGAAACGTGATATGCTACCTTTGACAGGATCATGTGCGAAATGTAACGTTGTAGCAAGTGGTACTGCATGTGTGAGCGGAGATGAGCCAAGGTAGAGCAAACAGCGGGGTAAATGACATATATATCGGCCAACAGCTGGCACTAGAACTCGATCATGCCATTCAATCTTTGACAAACTTAATATTTTTCGTCTCGCTAATAGCTAGCCTAAGCAACTCAAAATGGCGGATATTGCTGCCGTCGGCCTTGTTTCCGCTATCGTTCAGTTTGCTGATTTCAGCTGCAAATTCATTCCCAGATTCAATGAGTTCAATTCGAACGCGAGAAAGGCCCCAAAAAGCTTGGAATATATCAAAACTCGACTACCATTGCTTGCCAAAACACTCGATGGAATAAAAGCTCAAGTGGAAGCAGGTTGTGTTGACAGTGCCACGAAAGCTGCCGTTCAAGAAGTCGTCGATGGCTCTTTTAAGGAGATCAAACTCCTAAACGACATCATGAATGAGATAACTCCAAAAAATACGGATTCAAGAGCCAGAAAGGTGATAAAGTCATTCGAAAGCCTCCGGAGCGAAGAAAAAATTCAGGACATCAATAAGCGATTGAAGAACTATATTGTCGCTTTGACTTTACACCAAATTGCCCCCACATCGGTACCGATACAATCAGAGACCGGGCCTTTGTTTGCTATGCCTTTCGAACGCGATACGAAGTTTATCGGTCGTCTAGATATCATTCGGCAGCTAGATGATAAATTCAGCACTGGCCGCCGTGCTGCATTGGCAGGAATCGGCGGAGTTGGGTTAGTGGTCTCTTACCATGCTTGTATAATTTGACCAAGAGGCTTATAACTCCTATACAGCAAATCCCAAATTGCTATTGAATACTGTTATAGATTTCGAGACCGACATCCTCAAAGCTGCGTGTTCTGGGTACAAGCGACTACAAAAGCCAGGATCGAGCAATCATACAGAGAGATTGCAAGAAAAGCCAAGCTTCCGGGCCATGAAGATCCCAAGGCTGATATGTTGCGGCTGGTACTTATTTGGTTGAGCGAGAAAAGCGCTCCTCAACACCTTATTGTCTTCGACAACGTAGATGATGTCGAGGAACTTCCGCAACCAAGTTCAACAAATGCCATCACTGGAGTTAATCGCGACTTCTTCATTCCACGGAGTGAAAACGGAAAATTCTTGATTACCACCAGAGATCGCCGTATTGGTAAGACACTGCTCAATGGGGAAGAACCTGTCAAAGTTCTTCCCTTCTCTCCGGAAGATTCTAGGAACTTGATGCAATCAAGAATAACTTTTCTAGACAAAGAAAAAAGCGGCTATCTGGATGACCTCATCGGCGAGTTGGATTATCTGCCTCTAGCTATCACACAAGCTGCTGCTTTTATCAACGAAAATGATATCACAGTCGAGGAGTATCTCCAAGCATTCCGAAACGATGACCTCGACAGGCAAGTCCTCTTGAGCCAGGAGCTTGACGACCTGAGGAGATCTGGTGATACACCAAACGCCGTCTTTCGGAGCTTGAAGCTGTCTTTCGACCAAATCGCCCGGCAAATGCGTAAAGCCGCAGACATGCTCTCTCTGATGGCAGTTCTTGATAGACAGGGCATACCGAAACTTATATTGCGGACATACTCCTCCAGCAATGTGGAATACATAAAGTCTACCGGTACACTGATGGCGTTTTCGCTCATCACAAAAGAAAAAGGAGGTAATAGCTTCAAAATGCACAGGCTCGTGAAGGTGTGCATGCAGCACTGGCTAGAGCTCCGCAATGAGTCGCAAAGATGGCAAAGTTTCGTCATCAAAATTCTGGCCGGTGTCTTCCCCAGGCCAAACTTTGAAAGCTTTGAAACGCGGGAGGTATGCGAGACCTTGTACCCCCATGTACAGGCTTCTCTGCAATATAGCAACATGTCAGGGAAGGTCGAACTGATGCAAGCGCACTTGTTTTCTTTCATGGCCAAATGAAATTATCGGCAAGGACGATTCGATATGGCAGTATCCAACATTAAACGTGCCTCAGAAATCCGTACCAAACTCCAAGGGCCGGATAATAGCTATATTTACGGAGACACATATGATCAAGCACTCTATCTGCAAGCATCGAGAAGAAAGGACGAAGTGGAAGCATTATGTCGGGCATTTATTGCTAGACACCAAATCTCCCAAACCAAAACGATGGCCATCACCCATTTCCTGGCGGGGATTCTCAGTTGCCGTGGAAATCATGAAGAGGCGGAACAAATTCATCGACGCACTTTTCATGACTCTATGGTTTTGCTCGGCCCAGAATGCCAGGACACATTGATTTACGTGAACGGGTTTTCGGGGGCCCTTTCAAGGAAAAACAAATTGGACGAGGCAGAAGTACTATTGCGACATATAGTACTAACTATGAAAAGAGCTGGCTCAGAAGACACTATGAACAATTTGATATATCTGGGAGGCTTGGCAAATCTACTTCGAAGAGCAGGTAAACTTGAGGAAGCAGAAAAATTGTTAAGAAAAGTGGTCGCAGGGCACACAATGCTATTAGGGGTCAATCATCCTTGAACAATTTCCGCTGCCAGAAATTTGACGCAGCTTCGCTGTCGAAAAGACAAATTTGAAGAGGTATGGAATTTTTTCATGCAAAATAAATTCGAGGAAGCGCATGAAATATGCAAAAAAGTTGTTAACGAAAAAGAACGGGTATTTGACAAGCTAGATTCGGACAGGCTAGAATCTTGTGGTCAATTTGGAGTTGTTCTACAATGCATGGGCCGATATGAAGATGCGGAAGGGATGCATAGAAAGGCTTGGGAAGGATGGGGAGAGTTACTTGGAGAAAATGACTGGGCGGCAAAAACAAGCTTGAAAGATCTCAAGCTGGCCTTGTGGTGTCAGGGGAAAGTGACAGAGACCGATAATGATGGGAACGTGGATGAGATAGACGGAAAGCAAGTCTGGGTGTGTTGGCATGTGAGTCACTATTCAGGAAGGCAATGGCCAGACATTTTCGACCTCGGACAAGACTGACCCTTACTGCAGGACTATTCAAAACCTGGTCCCCACCGCAAACATATCTGTCATTGGAGGGACAGAATACCACCGGAGGGCAGCAATGTGGGACAAGAAGGCGTTAATTGGGACGAAATCCCCAGCGCATTGGAGGGACTGAGTATAGCAGAGGCTGTCAAACAGGGTATTCTTTCCAACGGGGAAAAGGTTGAGCGTTGATTTGAGCATTTTCTTGTCTCAGGGATGGAGTAACGGAACACTGGGCTTTTGTAGACGGGATAGATATACCCTTGTGGAGTATTTCTTTCGCCAGCAAGATACATTGAATACTGCCCAAGATAAAAATGAACAGTGCTTAACAATAGCAATCAGACCAAACAGTCCAACATTCGTGAAAAAACTCTTCCGAAGCTGCGAAGACGTTCAGATGTATATGCACTTCCCGCGTATTCGTAGTCGTAGAAAACCATGCCTTTTTCAATGAATAGAAAAGCATCCCAGCAAACAAAAGAAAGAAAATAAGCTTAAAAGACGGCAGCAAGCGGGTAGTGTTGTAGCCGAATTTCTTGCAAGACTGAGTGAAAAAACCACGCAACCTTTGTCCTTTTGTCCGCTGCTGGATTTGGCCCCCATTTTTCTGCTCTCTCTTTATGCCACTATCATGGCTTGACGTACCGCGTTCGTTCCTGATGAACGTCTTTTCACCGAATCCTTTTCGGGCAAATGCCCCACCTCCGCCGAACAACCTTTCACCACCAATTCCTTTGCCGCCAAATGGCCTTTCACCACTAATCCCTTTGCCATCAAATGGTTTTTTACCACTGAACTCCTTGCCACCAAATGCTGTTTCACCACCAAATTCTTTGCCAGCAAACAATTTTTGTTCACTTTCTTTCGCGGTCATCTGGGCGTCTCCCTTCAATACCGATGCAGGCAAGTCCCTAGGGTCATGAACATCCCAATTCTGAGACGCAAGCCATTTATGCTGTGCGAATTTTTAGTACCTAGAACAGCGTATATGTGGGTACTCTCTCCTACCATATTGTCCATCTCGATCTCGTAGCGCGAGCCAAGCATATGCTGGACAGTCACCATGACCCGAGTCCCACAGTCAAGTAGTGTCCTGAGTCTATCTCCTGGAACGCGTAGACGATGAAGGGCGAAATTCTGAACATCTCTGCACTCCCTAAGGTCCTGAACAAAGAAATCTCTTTCCAGGTACGAGATTCCGGTGTGGCTGAGGAACTGGGTGTTGCGTTTACAATACCGAATAACGTCACCGGCAATCCTGGTCAGCTCGGCGGCTTTGTAGCAGTCCCAGCGTCGTTTTTGGATGATATCGGGAGCGACAACACGACAGAAAATGTAGAGAATCATTTCAAGATCGTCCTGCAGCCGGCAGAGGTGGAGTTGGTTCTCGATGAATCCACAGTCTGGTCAGCAGAAGCTAAATACCTGGCGTGGTTGGACCATACTCGCTAGCACCCTCCGCAGCGACGGGAGCGATATCTTCAAATGAGGAGTCCATGTCGACTTTTTCCTCTGTCCAGGTAGTATCGCCCATTTCCATTTCCAGCACAGAATCGATAGTTATGGTTAAAATACAACCAATGAATGAGAAAACAGCTGTGGGAGATATGCGCTGTAGTTTAAATAATCAATCGATCGGCAGGGTCTGGCTACGACAAGTCGGTTGAGCATCGTCAGCCTGACAGATGTGGCAGACACAAGTGTCAGTGATCAACGAAATAGGGTTAGAAAGATGACCGGAAACGGTTTCCCCGCTTCAAACCTCATCTGGTCTCTATAAAGTAGATGGCATAAGTTTCTGAAAGATTCCCCATGAAAAATCTGCAATTACCAACACTCGACGCGGTAGACGTGATCAATTTAAATCATGATTTCATCCTTTACCATCATTACATTTCCTACAAGACAAAATGGGTGCGTCACGTGTATTCCGGACCGTGCTTCCTGAGACCACTTTCATCACATGGCTTAGATACCTGGGTGCATACGTTCGAGCCTCATGGACGAGCGGGGACATTAGGAAAGACCGGAATAAGACGAAGCGAGGCAGTCAACGCAAAATAAGCAAGTTATTCATCAGAAAATCTCGGTGAAAGTCTGAGCGAAAGCCCAAAGGCAAAGTGAAGTAAAGCCATGCAAGACAGAACAAAAGTGACACAAAAGACGCACGGCAAAAGCAAGGACACTTCCCTTTCTATCTCCCTACCAAACAATAACCGGCTTCACCACTCCTGCCGTCCCCATCGCCCCCGCCGCCTCCTTGAACTCTGCGACATCAAAAAACCGCACCAACTTCTCGATAGGAAACCGTCCGTCACGCCACCACCCCACAATCTGAGGCATAAAATCCCTCGCCCGGCTATGTCCCTGTACCGCACCAAAATACTGCCTCCCACTCACCATAAAACTCTGCATGTGGATCGCAAGGTTTGAATCCGGCATCCCTGTCCCGACCTGTATGATCTTGCCCATGAACGCCGTGTACTCGATTTGCGCGGCCACGAGCGGCGGGTGCGCTGACGTGTCAATAGACACGGAAGCACCGATGCCGTCTGTGGCCGCGAACACGCGCGCTACGACTTCTGATAGAGGGATCGAGGAGGTGTTGATGACGTGCGTTGCGCCGAGGGTCTTGGCCAGCTCGAGCCGCGCTTCTACCCTGTCGAGCCCGATGATGGTTTTGCATCCTTGGACCTTTGCCGCCTAGATGTTCTGCGTCAGTATCAGATCCATGGGCGCGCTTCTTCCGGGTAGGTAGTGGTTGGCTCACCATCACTGCCGCAAGCCCCACGCCCCCCATCCCCACTACCGCCACCGCGTCCTCCTCCCCCGCCTTCGCCACATTCACCACCGTTCCGCCGCCCGTCTGCAACCCGCACCCGAGTGGCGCAAGCAGCTTCAGCTCCTCGCGCGACAAGCCCAGGTCTTTGGCGTTCACGATCGACGCCTCGCTAACAATGGTATGCCGCGCGAGGCTAGACTGGCCGAAGAAGCGGCCGCCGATGTCTGCGTCGCTGGCACCATTGCTGATAAATACGGGCTCCCCGATGAAATTCAGCGCGAAGTTGTTCTTGCAGTGGGATGGCGGGCCGGTCTTGCAGACATGGCAAGACCCGCAATACGAGAACGAGAGGAACACCGGGTCGCCGGGCTGTGCGGCTGTGACTGCGCTGCCGACTTGTCGCACATACCCTGCGCCTGCGCAACACGCCCGCTCCGTTAGCCATCCATCACATCTTAACTATCACATCCATCCCATGTCGCACCTCCCGCCTTCTCATACATGAAAGGGCCAGAAGGAGTAGCGGCTGTATCCTTACCTTCATGCCCCAGCACCCGCGGGTAATACACGCCCGGCACGCCCTTCTCAACTTCCGTATCTCCACAATGCAGATCCGTATGGCAGAGCCCGGAGGCCACAATCTCGACAACAAGCTCGTCGTCGCGTAGAGCGCGCAACGTCACGTCTTCGAGAGCCCATTGGCCGGCTGAGAAAGGGCCGCGCGCGACGAGGGCTTGGGTCGCGATCGGAGGCGAGGGTGCGCTTGGCATGCTGGGTCTTGAGGTCGAGAGCGCGCGTGGGTCGTGTGCGATGCGGTCGTGGCGCTGGGGGAGGGTGAGAGGTTTTGTTTCGTTCAAGGCGTACAAAGTGCGGAGGCAAGGCCTGACCTAATAAGTTCCTGCATGCCGGTCTTATGCAGGGCGCTCGGCCTTGGTGGGGGATCAGCCTATCGTGCCATGCATGCGCGGGGTAGCCTGTGATACGGACTCCGAGGTCTGTCGGCTTAGCAGGTAGCGTCGCGGCAATCGGTTGCGCGATCTGTCTCGATATTGCTCGCTCATTTGTTTCCCCATCTTTTTCTACTTTTTGGTTCTTTTCCAGGGCTCTTGGGGGTTCTGATAATGAGTTTGTGTTTTTATTGGAGCGTTGTGGGACAAGTGAGAGAGCCTCGCATTATCCCCACATTCTCCGGTCGGAAGGCCGTCAGCCCCGTCGTGCTGTGGAGACATTATCTTATTGAAGGACAGAGAAGAGTGTTATACCGTGCGCCTACAGCATCTTGGCTTGAAACTGTTGAGTCCCAGCCCAAGGTTGATTTATGCGTTTGGCGGATTTGATGATGATAATTGTCATCATTTTGGGAAGGCGGCGATGATGGTAATCATCATTATCAAAATCGCAAAACGCAGAAATGAACCTTGGGGTTGTGTATGCCCACGGGATGATACAGGGTTTCTCATCATAGAATTCTAGGGTGTAAGTACTCCAGCTTTCATGAACTTGTAGCTTCCCTCGTTGTTGCGCCCCAATTTCGCGGTCATCGACTTTCCTTTCCTATCCAGATCTCTTTTCTCGTCCAGATTGAGGTCTGAATCGGACCAACCCTGCACTCCGTGAAACAGGAAAGGCAAAAGGCTCGATTTCCACAGCTTGACATTGTGGGTGTGTTGGAGGTAGATGTTTGTGATGAGGAACACGGTGCCGATTAAAACGAGGACTAGGGGGAATACGATCCACTTCCATCGGACAACCACGTAGCTTTCGGGGTAGTAGGCTGTCCCTTGCAGCATTGTAGTGTTGTGTCCGATTTGGACCTGGCGTGTTAGGCTCTCTGCAACGTGGCTCATTGCCTCGGTGATGTTTTGTGGAAACAAGGTAATTCCTGGGTGATACCCAGAACCATCCTCGCCAAACAATGAGACCGCGAAATTCATAATACGATTTATGAAGTTGTTGATAACGAGATGGTCGATGCAGTTGACGGCGAAGTTCTTATGGCCTTGTGCTGCTGATGCATTTGCTAGCTCTTTAGAGCCCGACCTAATTTCGAAGGACATTCGCGACTTATCTTTCATAAAGCACGACGGTCTGTCCAGTGGCCCATCTAAAGCTTCTAGCGGTACTTCGTTAACGGAGTATGGCGGCATTGTACCGTTTACCTATGTTTCTTGTTACATGTTGCTATAAGCTTTGAATGGAAGGGTTCTCTGTTAACTTACGACTCGAACACCTCTGTAAGCTTTTGCACACCAGCTGATTTTACACTCTGTGACATCTGGAAGCGAAGAGTCTCCTCCTAAAGACGAGTTTACTTTTACGATAGCAATAGCAGTCAGACTTTTGTTTGCGAAGCGGTTCAATGTAGCATTGCCCGAAATGATAGTCCGAGGTGAAGCACAGGTGCAAACAGAATTAAACAACATGTGGTTGTTTTCTGGGGTCTCGTACGTAAAGCGACAGCCATCACAGTTCTTCACTTTAGTTGAGTAAAAAGCGTCGTAGATGGCTGTATAGTCTTTGTTTGGTGTGCTTTCCAGAGTTACGTTTTTACAGGAACTGCAAAGGCCAAGAGTCGTGTAATCTGGCCAAGTGCAATTTCCCGTCGAGCAGAAGTAGTCAATAGGATATGGTAAATTAAATATACCCCGGATAAATGCACCTTGCAAATCGGAATTTTTGAGATCTGTAGAAACAATTATCAGCCAAGAACTACGGAGAATCAGCGAAGAGGGCCACTAAACCAGCAAGGACATTTGTATAGTAGTATCGACTTAAGCCGCTGTCATAGTTGTTTGCAACAGGTATCTCGGCACGCGCGTCGAGTTTGGGGCGAGTTCGAGTTTCTATCGATATGACTTGTTGTGCGAATGGTTCCATGGTAAGGGAAGCAACCATAGTGAAAGCACCGACTGTGGCCAGAAATGTTCCGGATTGCAAGTAATTGCGGGGCTTCAAGTGAAGGAAGAACTGAAAAGCGCCCCAAGGCCCTCTGCTCGCTTCGTCGTACATGTCGAGATCTTTCAGTGAATGCGCTTTGGTTTTAAAATGGAGCCATTTGATCTGACTAAGACCCTGGGCGATAACTAGCAGCATCGATGTCTTCAAGATCGTGACGAATGTTGATATCATGGTGCTTGGGGCAAGGACAAATCGCCAGTTGTCGAGTGGACTGTTGTGAAGACATGGCAGAACGACGAGTATGGCGGTGGCTGCAGAGAGGCTGACAATTATGCCGCTAATCTCCCATAGCCACCATCGATCCGCTAGATGGGAAAAGCATCGGCCATCCTTTTTGTGGTCCTTGGATGGTTTATCCTCTATGAGGCTTTGGCTGGGTGGAATATGTTCTAGGTATGTCTGTTGCGGCGGAGACCATGTTTGCAAGGGATTAGAATTGAAGTTCATTTTGTTAATAATTGGAACAGGAACCATGATGGACGATGGAGAAACTATAAATATGCACTGAAGCGGCCCCCAAAGCTGCAGCCTTGGGCGCATGGTTCCAGAGATGCATGGTTATTGTGGGACCGACAAGAGCTGTTATCCAATGTATCGATAGCTTCCGTAGCACAGGCTGCAGGAATACGTAGTACGAAATTTTAGCCGGTGTTGCTTTTCGGCCCCTTCATTGACTTGCCCCGTCCTGCAAGACGAGCTATGGAGGCCCGCCCAGTTCAAGTTTTTCGCCTTCCTTTTTAGGAATAGGTAGGTACAGGGTACGCTGCCTCAGCAACGGGCTTATAATTTACGGATCCGTAGGAGTAAGACAGAGCCATACACCATGCGAATACTATAGTACCAAATTATATCTATGATTCCTCCTTCTAGTTCTTATCAACCTTATAAGCAGGCTAAAAAAAACATGGCATCCATACTCACGGCTGGGAATATATCGTAGCCTCGCAAACCTCCGAGGACCACGCCATATCATTCACATCAAAGTAAAGCGTAAAGCAGCACCTAAGCCACCCTCGCCGCATACGCACTAGTCTTCTGATCCGCAGTCCTAGCATCCCAATCCCTCAAAATCTCCGGCAGTTCATCCTGCACCAAACTCTCAAAAACGCCCTTCTCTCGCGGTTCCCAGCCCAGCTCCCTAAGCCTAACAGCACGACTCCGCGAGTTCGACCAGAGCACGACCTCGGTCGCCGGCCCAAACAGCTCGCCATACTCGCTCTCGCCAATCTCCCTAACCTGGCTGACAGCGATGCGGCCCGCGCTCAGCAGCGCCGCCGAAATGCGCTCGCTCGCCTCTTTCCAGGAGAACTCGCTGCCGTTCTCGCAGAAGAAATACGGGTTCTCCAACACCCACTCTGCGGGCTTCTGCTCCAGCGCGTGCAGAAGCACGAGATAGCCGCGCGCGAGATCGCGCACGTGCACGGCGGACCAGACGCCCGCGCCCTTCTTGACATGGCCGGCGTAGCCATGGACGAGGGCGAAGCGCGCCAGCGTGGGCAGCTGGATCGACAGCCGGCCGTGCACGGGGTTGAAGCCGTAGATGTCGGGCGGCATCATGATGGCGCATTTGGCGTTGGAGCCGAGCTCGGCGGCCTTGCGGACAATGCTCAGGTCGATGGCGCGGTGGGGCGCGTCGTCCGCGAGGGCGTCGATGGCGGCGCGGTCGCTGTCGGCGTAGATGCGGTCGGGGGTCGGCGCGCTGATGACCGAGGTCCCGGACGTGTGCATGTAGATGGTGTGCGCGTTGGCGGCGGCGCGGCGCGAGATCCCGGCCAGGACGGCCTCGACGGACACGGGGTCGTCGGCTGTGGCCGTGTGGATGACGATCTGGGGGCGTGTTAGTGTGGTGGTGGGATTAGAGAGGGGGGAGGCGTGCGTCGGCTTTGGCGGTCTCGTTCGTTATCACGTCTTTGTCGTGGAGGTCGCCGAACACGGTTTTGGCGCCCGTGTTCTCGATCTGGAGAGAGTGTTCTTTGCGGCGCACCATGGCCGTCACGTCGTACCCCTCGTTCACGAGAAGCTCGACGACGTTCCAGCCGATGAAGCCGGGGCCGATGTAGAAGACTTTCTTTCCTGTCATTTTTGAATGGTTTAGACGTCTCAGACAAAGGATTGAATTGGCTTTGGAGTTGCACCAGATGTCCCTTTTCCCGGACGATGGTATGCTATAAGTACAGGTCACTGGAGTAGCGTCATGTGCCCCGCTTCACGGGTCTTGATCTCCGCTTTTTTATTTGAAAGCCACGAAAACACCGTGCTTTGACCAATGACAAAGCAACCTTCTATAAGTAGTAAGGGATCCGCCAATGAATTTGCAAGCAACTACGAGTTTCTTTAATGGCTTACTTGATGGACTGCAATTGTCATTCGGCACGTACCCGGAAACAAGGTGGGGCCTCATAAACGGCTTTTTACGTTGATGAAAGAATAATGAAAGAAGAATGTCCCGCTTGTTACGATACAAACATCGTTCTTTGTGGCAGCCAGAGTCCATCTCAATGCGATTTGGAGCAACTAGTTCGTCTGGATAACCTATACAATTTATAGAAGATAGGTAGAAAGATACGAGGTAACTACTACAGTTTAGAAACAAACTACAGTGATTTACTGTTGGACACTAACTTACCTGACGCAAGCACCCAAGTATGGTTCTCTGCTTACATCGATCGACTTAATTCAGAGCCCTTCACGGCTCACAGTATTTCCGCCAGTTATGCTCCTCCTTAAACCCCAGCACCTCCCTAATCTTGCGATTCGACAACGGCGCCTCCCACTCACCCATCTCCCTCATGAACGGCGTCCTTGGACACGTCTTCTCCAAAAACTCTTTCGTCGGCACCTTCGTCGTGATCGTATCATTCGTCGCATTGAAGATCTGGAACCCCAGCCCATCCTTCCTGACAGCAAGATCGCACATCTGGCCCAAATCGCGGGCATCGATATAGCTCCAGGCATTGCGCTTCCGGCACCCCGGATCCTTAAGATAGCGGGGGAAATCGCGCTCGTACTCGTGCGGCTCGACGACGTTGCCAATCCTCAACGCATAGATATCGACGCCGAACCTGCGCGTAAAGCCGCGGGCCACACGCTCTCCACAAAGTTTCGAGAGGGCGTACGTGTCCATGGGATCGCAATCATAGCTGTCTTCCTCCAGCGGAAAAGCGTGGTAGTCGGCATTGCCCTGCGCGAAACACACGCCATAGACGGTCTCGCTGCTCGCGATTACGATTTTCTTGACGCCGAGCTTGCACGCGGCCTCGATGACGTTGTAAGTCGCCGTCGCGTTGGCGTGGAAGCACTCGCTGTCCGGGACGAGCATGTTGCGCGCGTAGGCGGCAAAGTGGATGACAGCGTCGGGGGGCTGCGGGACAAGGGCGTCGTCGTACCCGCTGAAGTCGAAGTGCGTGGTTAGTGCGTTGAAGACTTGGCCGCTGTCGGTGAGGTCCGTTTTTAGGTCGAAGACGCCGGGGTGGTTTAGGGGATTGAGGTCGAGGTTCAGCACTTTGTGCCCCCGTTTGAGCAGTTCGGGGATTACGTGCCGCCCTGGTGTTTATATGTGAGTTGGGTTAGGGTGCGTGGGGTGTGCTACCCAGAGCAAGGCTGCGCACCTGCTTTGCCGGTCCCGCCGGTGAAGACGATGCGTTTTCCGCTTGATGCCATTGCTGTTGCTGCTCGGAGCATGGAACTGGGTTGGGCTTGAAGAGTTACGTCTCATGGGGGCTGGCCATGCTTTTCTATGTTCGATGTTCGTCGGGAAACTTCTCGACGTCATCTGCCCTTCATCAATCTGTAGCGCGAAAGCTAGCGGGTAAGCTTAATCCCTTGCTGGCCTTTATTCCGCAAAGGGTTTGGGTGAAGCGTTCCTCTTAGCAGCAAACAAACCACCTCCAGCCTTTATCATTCACATCTCTTTACTGCTTAACACTGAGCCCAAAAGACCTAGAACATCAAGGATATTAAAGCCAGAAATTTCGTTAACACAAAGGCTTATTTTTACTTAACACCGCCTCCCTCTATTTTCCCTTCCCTTAACAGTCATATCAAAACCACCTAAACAGCTCCACTCCATAGATATTTTCCCATTCTACCTCATCTTCACTTCAAAACAATTCACTCAACCCCTAAGTGCCCTCCAAATCCAGGCCATACTCCACCACAATCTTCTCCGCTGCCGTCTCCCCCACCAAGTACGCCACGCTAACCAAATGGCAGTTCAGCACGAATGGCAAAACGCTGCAGTCGACGACCCGAAGCCCCTTGACGCCCCTTACCTTGAAATTGTTATCCACGGCCGTTCCATTAGCATCACCCTCCCCATCAATTCCACCACCCTCCCCACCACCCACCTCCTCCTCCGCCCTCCCCATCCTCACCGTCCCACACATATGCCAGCTCGTGCCCGCGTTCTCCCTCACCCACTCCCAAACATTCTCATCAGCAACCCCCTCCCCCACCTCAAACCCCCCGGGCGCACTCAACACGCCCACCCCAAACTCCCTCAACACCGGCGCCTGTAACAAGCGCATCGCCGCCCTAACCGCCAAAACAACCGCCACGCGATCGACCTCCTGCTCAAACAACCGAGGGTCACACACCGGCGGGTCTCTCGCATCGCTACTACCCAGGCTTACGCAGCCCTCGCTCTTTGGCGACATCAGAAACACGAAGAGCGGGAAGTAGTCGTTCTCGGCGCGCGCAGAGGGGTGCAGCACCGGCCCGAGGGCCGCGAGCTCGAAGTGCGGGACCGTGGGGCGGGACATGTGTGTTTTTGTTTCTGGGTCTAGGGCCAGGAACGCGGGGTGCGTGTGTAGGTGGGCGAGCTTTCCGAAGCCGAGGATCAGGTTGTTGTAGACGGAGGTGAGGGGCCCGGAGGCGGTGGCGGCGAAGGCGGCGCGCGCGGCGGCGAGGGCGGGCGCGCAGCTGAAGAGCGAGGGGCGCGGCGTTGTGTTGGGGGGGAGCTGGAGCGAGAGTTGCAGCATGGGGTGGTCGGCGAGGTGGCGCCCGATGCTGGGGAGGGGGACGATGGGGGGGATGACGTGGGCTGTTAGTTGTTCTAAGGGGCCGATGCCGGACAGCATCAGCAGTTTGGGCGTGTCGAGGGCGCCGGCCGAGAGGATGATTTCTTTGGATGCGTAGTCTGCTTGGGTTAGTCGGGGTGGTTGTGGAGAGGGAGAGGAAGGGGAAGGGGAAGAAGGCATACACGTCTGCCCGCCCACGAGCGCGACGCCAACAGCGCGCTTGTCGGCATCAAACAGCACGCGCTGGACCAGCGCCTCCATCTTCACGACCAGATTCCACGGCGCATCATCCAGAAACGCCGTCTTGGCCGTAGCTCTGACGCCGTTCCTGGCCGTCGCCGGCACCGGGCCCACCCCAATCGGGTCACCAGAATTTAGGTCCAAGTTCCTTTGCAGCCTTATACTCTCCGCCGCCACCAAGCTCTCATCAAAGCCCCACTCCCTGCCTTGCGCAAACGACACGGGCACGCGTCCCGCGACGCCATGCGCGCCCTCCTTCAGCCGCACATACCCCGCCCCCGCCAACGCGCTGCCATCATAGCTCTCCAGCCGCTTAAACCGCTCCCTGACGCTCGCCCAGCCAAACGCATCGTCCCCGACCCGCCGCGCCCACTCGTCGTAGTCGTCGCGCGGGCCCTTCGTCCACACGGCGAAGTTAATAGCGGAGGAGCCGCCGAGGCCGCGGCCGCGCGAGTAGTCGATGCGGCGGTGGTTGAGCTGCGCTTGTGGCGTGGTCGTGTAGTTCCAGTTGCTGCCGTCGCCGCGCGCTAGCGTCGTGTACCGGTCGGCAAGGATGTGTGGCGTCGGGTTTGCGCCGCCAGCTTCGAGCAGTAGGATTCGTGGCGCGGCGGGAGTGCGCGCGAGGTGCGAGGAGAGCGTCGCGCCGGCGGGGCCGCCTGCGTGTGTGCGGGCGGGTTAGTTGAGTGCTGCTGGCTGGTGGGGCTGGAGGGGCGGACGCACTTCCTACGATGATGAAGTCGTAGTGCTCGTCTGTGGGCATGACGGGCGCGTAAAACAATGACTGAACGACAATGAAAGAAAGCACGCAGCGATAAAGAGAGCAAGAAGAAGAGCACTCTCCTCACCTAATAAGCAGCAGCAGTAGCAGCAGCATTAGCAGCCCTGCAGTCCGCGGAGCAACAGCACCAGCCCCTCCTCCGCGGAGCACTGCAGCGCAAAGCACACCACACCAGTTAACCCCATCGAGCGCCGCCATCACATCCCTAGCTCACAAACCCCGCCCAACACCGCCTGAGTAACGCTGATGAAGCAGTGCGCACCCGCAGTCGCATAACGTGGGTACTCGCATAGTGAGTGCCTGCATAGTGGGGCAAAGCCAAGGAACCAAGACGCGGGGTCACGAAACCTCAACCGAGCTCAATCGCGGAGGAAGGTCCGCCGAGCGGCGCGGCGTGGGTGATCGCCGGTGCCGGGGGGGTGTCAGGGTGTGCTGATCTTTTGACTCGTCTGCTTGTTTCGTTGAGGGAATACGAGGGTGCGAGAATAGGTACGTATGCCTGCCTAGTCAGAGGTGCAGGTGGGTGAGGCACATACTACGTATGCAAGGGGTGTGGAGTTGAGTGTGTCTGAGTGGGTGGGTGTGGGTGTGTCAGCTTTTAAGGCTGATAGTGGGGTTAAAGGGGCGAGTGTTAGGTGACTAAGAAAAAGAAAATAACGGAAGAGAGGAATAGAAAGGGAATACCTAGTGTAGGGAAAAGATGGAGATGTTTGTACGAGATAGACAGGGGAATAGAAAGTAGAGAAAGAAAAGAAAAGCAATAACGAAAAAGAAAACAGAAAAGAGAAATAAAAAAGCAAACACCACAACCTACTCCTAAAACTACCATAGCCACACCAACACCCTCCATCCCCGCCCCCAGTCGAAGGAACCCAAACACCCAACCCCCGTCCTGCTACCTCACATCAACGCCTCACCGTCCACGCGCAAGCAAACGAGCAAAGCAACAAAAAAACAGCAGCATCATCAGAGCCCAAAGAAAAAGAGGAAGAGATACAAAAAGCGAAGAATGCCAAAACCTGCAAACTCTCTAGATTGCGACTTCTACGTATATACCTCCGTCTACAGCACCGTCACCACACATCTCCATCTCTTTCCCCTCTACTCAACACACCCACACCCGCCCCACCCACACACGCCACCACTCAATCCCATCACTGTATACACCCCTACTCCGCCATAACAGCAGCCTACACACAGAGAATTAGCACCACCCCAACAGAATCAAAGCACGGCAGGAACACCGGCAGCACTCACCTTAGCAACATCATACAACGGAGCAATACCCGTCCAGCGCTCAAACTGATACACGCCCTGGCCAACCAAGACCTCCAGACCATTAACCGTGCGCCAACCCGCATCAGCCGCAAGCTGCATCAGCGCCGTAACCGGCGGCTTATACGTCATCTCAAGCAAGAACCTACCGGGGGCCTTCTGGAGAGCGGCGGCCCCCGCCCCGCCAGCCTCAAACACGCCGCACAGCACCTCGCGCATATTGCTCGCGATGGGCTGGTCGGCGGGGATGGTGCCGATCGCCACCGTCGGGACCTCTGCGGGAGGGAGCGCGGCCGCGCCCGCCGCGTCAGAGAGGACGCGCACGTCGTAGGCGGCGGGGAAGGAGGCTGCGAGCGCGGCCATCTTGTCTGGCGAGCGCCCGACCACGAATACAGGGCTGTACTGCATGGCGTGCAGGGCGTAGATGGCCGCGCGGGCGGTACCGCCGCCACCGATGACCAGGCCCGCTTGGCCCTGTGCCGCCGCGCCGCTGGGGGCCCCCGCCTTGCGCAGCACCAGCACCATGCCCTGCCAGTCGGTGTTCTGGCCGACGAGGCGGACGGAGACGTTACCCGCCGCGTCCGTGACCTCCTCGGGCACGATCGTGTTCAGCGCGCCGATAATCTCGACTTCGGGCCCCACGCTGTCAATGTACGGCCGCATCTCCTGCTTCAGCGGCATGGTGACCGACGCGCCGCCAAAGTCCGCTTGCCGCAGCAGCTGCGCCAGTTCTGCCGCGTTGTTCGTCTCCACGTGCCGGTAATGGTGCGGCAGCCCCGTTTCCCGGAACAGCGTGTTGTGCATCGCCGGCGACCGCGACTGGCTCACCGGGTATCCGCACACGAAGAACTGCTTCGGCTCGATCTGGCCCAGCAGCGACAGCCCGTGCCGGATGTCGGCCGCCGAGAGCTGGCCTGGTGCCGATGCGCCCGGCAGCAGCTGGTGCGTGACGGGAGTCATAAAGTTGTTGATTATGCGGCTGAGCTTGCCGTGCGTGCCCATGTTGATGGCGATAACAGGCGTGGGGTGCGTCTTCTCCGCCCACTCCTTAAACTCGGCCAGAGCAAAGTTGTCACGAACGGACTTGGCGACGCCCACGAGCTTGATGACATCTCCGTACTGCAGCGCCTTGTTGTAGTAGGAGATCCACGAACCGTCGCTCCACGACAGCTCCGACTTCGGGTCGTGGTGTGAAGCGATAATCTGGCTGTGGCCCTTGGTGGAAACAACCTCTTGCAGCAGGTCATCGGGGAAGGTAATCTCCAAGTCAATGAACTCAAAGCCCATGCGAATCGCCAGCCTGTAAAGGTCAAGAGCCTCCTTGGTCGCGCCGTCAGGGAACTTGCCTCCTTGACTCTTCGTCCTGATCGTAAAGATCAAGGGAACAGTGATGCAGGAGCGCAGAACAGCAATCTGTTCGACGAGGAACTCATGCGTCGGAATGCCGTCTGTGGCGTTGGGGTCCTCAAGCAAGTCGACGCGAAGTTCGACCGCATCAGAGCCCACGACAATCTTGTCCAAGTTCTCCGCAAGTGGCGCAACCTGCGGCGAGGTGAGACAGACGAAGAAAGACTGTTTCTTGCGCTTGATGTCCTGCAGCGTCGTGCCCCTTCCCGTCATGACAGAGAGGAAGCGCGCAAAGTCTTCCAGGGTGGCGGCAAGACCGGTCTCCTCGACCGTCGGGCTGTGGAACTGGAAATTGCTGCAATCGCGGTACCAGTCCTTGCGGCGCAACCAAACGCTCATCATCGGGTCGACGTACGCCGGGCGCGTCTTGTCGGTGCCGAGGAACTCCATGACCTTTTCAATGTCGCGGGTGACGAGCAGCACGTTGCCGCCATCCTTCTTCCAGCCGTGGAGGAGGTCCCGCGCCTCAGGAACCTCGACAACGCCACCACCACAGGCAAGGATGTGACCAGTGCCCTTTTCGGCCATGACGTTCTTGAGAAGCTTCAGCTCTTCCTCGCGGAAGAACTCCCAGCCGTGGTTCTGGATGATTTCCGGAATGGACTTGCCAACCTGCTCTTCCAGAGCAGTGTCGAGGTCAACAAGCGGCCAGCCCAGGATCTTCGACGCCCAACCACCCGTCGTCGTCTTACCGGCGCCCCTCATGCCGATGATAAACATTGACTTAGCACTGGTCTTCTTGACAGCGGAGTGCCCAACGGGCGTCTCGGGCTCGTGGCCCTCAAGACGGGCGCCGAACTGCAGAGACAGAATGTCCCAGAAGCCGGGCCAGGTCTTGGCCGTGCAGTCCTTTTCGAGGATGAGAACGGCATCAGGGGCAACCAGAGAAAGGACGCCAAAAGACATGGCCACACGGTGGTCATCGTAGCAGTAGATGCCCTCCTTGGGCGTCTCGAGCTCGTAGCTACGGCCATCGATGATGATACCGTCATCGTGCTCACGGCAGACGACGCCGAACTTGGCTAGCTCCACCCTCATGGCGGCAATTCTGTTGCATTCCTTGACACGCTGGTTTGCGATACCCTTGATGGTGGTAGTGGCAGTCTCGCCGTTGCTGGTCGCAACCGCGGCCAGGACAGAGGCCGTCAAGAACGCGTCAGTCATGGGCTCCATGTCGACCTCGGTCAGAGCCTTCAGCTGGCCACGGGGAGGACCAGTCACGGTCGTCGAGGTAGCGGTCTGCTCGACAGTGCAACCCATGGGGCGGAGCACGTCCACGGCAAAGCGCGCGTCACCTTGCAGAGACTCGGAGCCAATGTTGGGGACGGTGCAGGTGGTGCCGGTGATGGCGGCAATGGCCAGAGGGTAGGTAGCAGAGCTGGCGTCACTCTCGACCTCGTAGTGAGACGGGTTGACGTAGCTCTGGCGAGGGATGTGGTAGGTGTTGTCCTCGGTCGTGGACTTCTCGACCTTGACACCAAAGGAAGCCATCATAGCAATAGTCATATCGATATAAGGCTGGGAGATGACCTTGCCGCCGACCAAGCGAAGAGTGACGGGGTTCTTGGCATACGGAGCAGCCATCAGGATGGAGGAGACGTACTGCGACGAGACAGTGGCCTTGAGGTCGATGTTGCCACCCTCGAAGCCGCCAGAAGCGCCGATACGCAAAGGCAGACTGCCCTCCTTCTCCAAGTAGTCAACATAGACGCCGTTGGTCCTCAAAGAGTCGACAAGAGGGCCGATGGGCCTCTCCTTCATCCTGGCATTGCCAGTCAAGACAGTCGACGACACCGACGACTCCTTGGCCAGCGCTACAACGGTGGTCAAGAAACGCGATGCGGTACCAGCGTTGCCCAGGTACAAGTCATCAGGGCTAGCCTTGAGATCTCCACCGTTGCCCTTGACAACCAAGACCTTGCCATCGTCTTCCCAAGCAAAGGTGGCGCCACCGAGCTTGCCGACGGCAGTGAGCATGTACTGCGTGTCATCGGAGTGAAGCAGGTTGGTGATACGGCACTCGCCGGAGCCAAGGGCAGCCAGGACCAGGACTCTGTTCGAGACACTCTTGGATCCTGGGGGAGTACAGGAGATGTTCAGGCCCTCAGAAACGCCGGGGTGGACACAGACGCTCGGAGAGAGGATTATGCGGATGTCGGCATCAGCGACAACGCTGGCCTTCTTCTCGTGGGTACGGCCGATGCCGGAAAGGAGAACAATCTTCTTCTTCTGGCCATCGTTTTTCTTGTCAACGGCCATGATAGAGATAAGCTCCTCGACAGGGCAGTGTTTGTTAGCAGAGCGTTTGCGGACGGTCTTGTCCTCGAGCGAGGTAGGGAGATCGTAGCTCGCAATGCACTTGGTCAGGCGAGCGACGGCGCCGGGCAACAGGACGCCCAAGTACCGGGCAAGCTCGGCCTCCTTGACCATGCCAATGGCGACGCACTCGCCGTGGAGGATCTGGGGGGTAAGAATGGCCTCCATGGCGTGGCCAATGGAGTGACCGAAGTTGAGCAGGTTGCGCAGGCCGCCTTCCCTCTCGTCCGCGGAGACGACACCCGCCTTGACGCGGATAGATCCCAGAACTATCCGCTTCAGGATGGGCGCAATGTCGGCCATGCGGCGCTGACCCTCAACGGGCTTCTTGTTTATAGTCTTCATAATGATCGTGGCGTTGTCCTCGAGGGCCGCAAACTCGGTCTCGTCCCAGATGGCCGCAGTCTACACAAGTCAGCCGCGTGCCATGTTTTACCACGTCCCCTGCCACGCACTCACCTTGACAACCTCGGCCATGCCGTTGATGACCTCCCTCTTCGGCAGCGTCTCGAGGAACTGCAGGTCGACGTATATACGCTCCGGTTGCCAAAAGGCGCCGACGAGGTTCTTGCCCGCGGGGGTGTCAATGGCCGTCTTGCCGCCGATGGACGAGTCGACCATAGCCAGAAGGGTGGTCGGGACCTGAACGAAGCGCACACCACGCATGTACGTCGCCGCGACGAAGCCGATCATATCACCAATGACACCACCGCCCAAGGCGATGATGACGGTATCGCGGGTGCAACCCTGGCGCAGCAGCCAGTCCTCCACCGCCGCCTTGGTCGACCGCGACTTGGACGTCTCGCCGGGGGGGATCACGCGCGTCAGGAGGCGCGCGGTGGGCGCCAGCTCGGCGGCATGCTGCTGGAAGCTCTGCTCGAAGGCGGAGAGGTAGAGGGGGCTGAGGTTCGTGTCGGTGATGAGGACGTAGGTCGACGACTTGATGTTGGCCAGCAGGTCGCGCGCCACGTAGTTGTCGAACAGGCCGTACTCGACGACTATGTTGTCCTTGCCCAGGATGGGCACCGTCGTGGGGCCTTCTTGGCCCTCGGAGCTGTTCATGGCGGGGTTGGTTGGTTCGATGGGCGGCGCGGAGCCGTGCGCTCAGGTGTCAATTGCTATGACGGCGCACTGGATCGCGGGCGCTGCCAGAATCTAGCAATTGCTCGAGAGGCGGCGATCGTACGATTTAGGTTGCGGGGTGTTGAGTCAAAGCGGTCCTGTCAGAAAGTTTGAGAGCCTCGGAGCGGTTTCGGATCGCCGCCGCGACCCGCATCACCACCTGCGCGCATCCATGCCTCCATCAACCTAATTCACTATACATGTCGTACTGCGTACAAAGCATCGGATCCGAATACGTTTCCCGGCTCCGATTCGCGAGCAAATTATATTCATATTATTTCTACATCTCCATGATGAGGCCTGGCCGGCAGAACGTGCGTGAGTTATGTAGCGCCGCCAAAAACCGCAAAAAGAAATGCGCACCACTGAATTCGACCCCTCCCGCCACCTATCACCAACCAATACAAAAATACTTTTGAAAAAGAAATCTCTAACAAGAAACAATCACTAATTGTTAGAATTTAATTAAGCAAAAAGAAATAAAAAAAGAAACTGATCTAGCTGCGAATGGTTTCGATCCATTGTCCTCCGGGTTATGAGCCCGGCGCGCTTCCGCTGCGCCACGCAGCTTTCTCGATGCAAGCTTCGATGACGTAAGCTTCGAGGCTTATAAATATAAACTTCCAATTTATTCACCACTCTACGCCAGGCCAGGTCACCAGTTGGGTGCGATACAGTTCACCAAAGCAAACCTCAGCACACTTTAGCGCATGCTTACACACCCAGCCACTAAACCCACAGCCGTGTAGCCGCTCAGCCAAGCGTACAGATTAGTGCGGCTGAAGCACGCACGCACGCCCCCAGACAGTCTCGCCCCTTCTCGGCCCTTGCAGTCGTCTGTCTCAGCCACCCTGCCGTGCCTGCCTATGTGCTACGTACGCCCGCGGCTTAACATGGAAATCGAATCGGTTTTACTGCGTTTATACTGCGTTAAGTTTGAAAGAAATTATAATTCTTACTATTTTTACTGTTTTTCTTATTTTGTTATGTATATCTTCAATTAAGAACACTAAATCTTGACTAGCTTTTAGGATGGTGGTAGAGAGTCTGGTTGGCGGAGTAGGGGTATTTGATACGAGGGGAGCGTTTTGTGTATAAAAGGCGGAGAAGCGAGAAGAGTATATGGTTGTATGGATAAGGAATAAGGAGAGAAAATAAGGGAACAGTAAGGAACAGGTAGAAAGAGGTTGATCGAATACTAGTTTTGTATATAGCGTCCTCGCTGCTGTCTGTCTAGCACTTGAGAATTCATGTGCAGCGGGTACATAGAGGCCGCCACGAGGGATCGCTGCGTGTGTGCGTGCGTGCGTGGCGACAGGAAAACGTGATGGGTAGGCAGTGAAGGATGGGTGGACGTGGAATAGAAAGTGGGCTGGGTTTGCGTGTGTGGGTATGGGTATGGAATGGAGCGGAGGGAGTGGAAAAGGCTGTGCGTGCTGAAGAGGTGGATGGGAGCGGGGTTGGATGTGAGGGCGCTGTGTGGAAGAGGCTGTTGTGTATATCTGATTGTGCCGAGCCTTCGGAATGGATTGCGGATGTTTGGAGGCGTGAATAAGTGGTGTTTCCGTGTCAGTCATCTGCTGGGCATACTCAGTCACGATAATCTTGTCTTCGCTGCTGATGTAGATCATTATTGCCATGGCGCTGTTCTTCTCGCCGTAATTGATACCCTCTCAAGTGTGATTCAGATCCGTATGAAACTGAGATGGAAATTCCTACGCCGTTGGCCGTGTCGTCCTAATTGGGCTTGCCCCACCAATCAAATTTCGATTGCCGACAGCTGTCAGCGAATATCGCCCGATGTCGCTTGGCCCTGCTTGAACGGGGCAATGGGAAAGCACCCCAGTCACACCGGAAACAAACCAAGGCAGGGGTGCTATTGGTGGAGCAAACTTTTTCTTCAGCATTTTTTGACAGGCATAAAAATAGATAGAGTGAGGCTGCAGACGTAGGTACGCCGGCGAGGGATTTCGTGTCCTTGCAAGCGGTAATTGGACAAGGTCGGACCTGCTCGGACTGGACGTGGCGCCCTTCACCGCGGGTCCTTGTCAAGTCGAATCGACTGTCTCGTGATGGTGCAAGGGCCTCTTTGCATTGTCACCGAGTCCATCTCCTTACAGATTGAACAAACTCCTGTCTGGCCGACAGTTGGATTTGCTAGACCTTGAGTATCTTGACAACCGCATGGTGAAGGTGGCATGACCGGATCCTTCAGAGACTTCTGGTGCTAACGTCTGTCGTAAGAGTATCGAGTAAGCGAAGGAAAATATTTTTGGTCCGATTGTGGATAGCCTTCTGGGGGGTCCTCAGGGAGCAATCAATGTTCCTTGCAACGGAAACATAGTTGCCGCGGAACGCGGGGAGCCAGCAGAGTGAAGAAAAGGGGAAGGTGTTAGTACTAGCGTTGGTGATTGGTGTTGATGCTGGATAGGTGTTGATATGTTATGATGCCGATGCTGGCACCACGGCTGCCGTGGTCTTCCGCCGCTCTTCCAATGGCCCTCGACGCGGCCACGCGAGCACATGAAGAGACGCACCGACGCCCAAGCATGTGGGTCGGGCAGGCTTGGACAGACAGGGCGGCGCGCCAGACGAGGAGAGAGCAGTGCGGACGACGATCAGGCAGCATCGCAGGACGCAGGGGTGCAAACGAGGCAGCTATAATCGACCGGACCGACCCTAGGCGGCGGGGGTGGAGAGGGCGGGAAGGTGGGCTGCCAAAAGAAAAATGCGGCTGCGAGCGACGTCATGCCGCGGGGGATCTCCAGCACTCATACGAGTACAGTACCTACCTGCCACACACTCTCTTCAAACCAAACCTCTCCCTGCGATGGATGGGCCGAGTCGAGCGAGATGGATGGCGGGTGCCTGGCGATCAACGCCAGGCTCGGAAAGAGGAGGATGGCATGGCCCTGGCCATGGATACGACACGGCAGTGACTGCGACGGCGACTGCAACTGAGACTGCGACTGCGACTGCAACGATATTTGACGGCGGTGCATGTACAGAGGTATGTGGCTGGTGTCTCTGTTTGCAGCGTTTGTGCGACAAAAGTGTGGAAGAGACGGGAAAAGCAGAAGCTAGTACTAGAAGACGGACGACGACGGACGACCCTGCATGTTCCCACCCCCAGGCCCCGGCCCCAGCCCCAGCCAGCCCTTCTCCATGCCACCCAGCAACCCACCACACACACACACGCACAACCAGCCCACAGCAGCCCACATTGCGCCCACCGCCTACGCACACCCACGCCGCCTCCAACTACCAAGCCCAACCCCAGCCCCCGATCGCGCCCCGCACGCACGCGCAACCCCCTTGACGGCTGGTGGGCCTCGCGCACATCAGGCCATCCGGCGCGCGCAGCCACAATTGGTCCATGGCAGGCCGAGACCCTCGCTCTCCTCTCGCCGTTCCTTTTCCAACTGCCTCACCACACTGCTATTGCCCTCTCTGCCAACTGCCTCGCTCTCGCTCTTAGGTAATCGCCTCATGGACTGGTGCGGACCTGATCTGCTGGTGGATCTGCAGCCCGCCCTGCCCGCCGAAGGTGACATTGCCGATGAGGCCTTCTCTTTAGCCCACGGCCATGAACAGCTCTCGCCCACCGACAACCAACAAGCCGACCTCGCGCTACCCGCTGCTGCTGCTGCTGCTGCTGCCGCCTCGCCTCATCATCGCCATCAGCTGCGCCTGCCGTCGTTCGACCTGCTCGGAATAGCTGCTCCTCACCCGGACCGCTTTCACCCCGCCACCGCCCTACGCGGCTTCTCGCCCGTCGGCGCCGGGCCTCTGTCCAAACCGGAGGATCCCCTCCATGCCCAGAGCCCTCCTAGGCCCGGCCCCGAGCGGGAGCGAAAATCCTACGAGCAATCCATCGACCTGCTGACCCCGCCGCCCGACCCGTCTGTCAACTACTGGGGCTCTTTTGCCCATGTGCGCGCCGCCGCCATGGATTCTCCTCCTGACCACTCCGACCGCGCCAAGTCGTTGACGCCGCCCTCGAATCCCGCCGCCGACCTGGCCATCCGCCCGGGGCCGCCCAGCGACGACGACGACGGTGACGAGGCCGACGACGACGAGTCCTGGCTGCACGAGAGCCTGCGCGCCATCGGTGAGCGCTGCGTTTACCATGTTGACCCTCCCCGCCCGCTGCTAATCTCATATGCCAGTCGCCAACCTCGACTCGGCCGGCGCCTGCAACAGTTCTGTCAAAGTCCTGTCGCACGCCTTGCCTTGTCCCTCTCCCACCGGCCAGGCCTTTCCTCGAATCATCCAGGCCATTCACGAGGCCATTCCCCCGCGATCGACCGTCTGGATCAATGTCTTTCACGCCGTCCCCGGCCGCTTCAATATGGCCGATCTCCCCACGTCTCCGCCCAGCACCCCCGGCCCGGTCATCGGCGGTGACGACTACTTCACCACAAAGGTTTTTGACAGTGCCGTGCCAGTGACCAATTACGAAGGCGACGCCAAGGTTTTGCGCTCTCCACGCCCCGCCGTGGCGCCCGGCACCGTCGACGTCTCCATCGTCGAGCGCTACATCCCGCCCACGAGCGCAAGCGAATTCGCCGGCCTCTTTTCCACCAACGGGTCGCGCTCCCTCCTCCTCGACCGGTTTGTTGAGCTGTCGCCGGACAACGGGACGCTCATCTTCTTGTACCCCACAAAGACGGGCGCCAAGACGTTCACGAGCGAGTATCTCGGGCCCATTCTGGATCCCATACTGCGTGCCATGCACGTCGTGCACGACCTCTCGGCCGATCTCGGTGCTTCGCTGGGGCGGATGCAGGCGGTGAACCACCTGTACGAATACGAAGACATGGCAGAGCGGCTGCGAGCTTTCTGCCACCGGCTCAGCAACGAAAACACTTCGCTGGACCGGTTCAACGGGGCGCGCACGAGCTTCTCGGTCGTGCATTCGGAGAAGAAACAGGTCCGGCTGGGGCGCAAGGAGTGGGCGTCGGACTGGTGGATCAAGCAGGAGAAGCCGCGCGTGCGCGCCGCCGTCAGCAAGTACTTCCGGATGGCGCAGAAGGTGCCGGCGGACGCAGAGATCATGCCCACGAACCTGATCCAGGAGATACTCGATGGAGTCAACCACAAGCAGTACGAGTACGGCGAGCCGAGCAACGGCGTCGAAGTCGGCATCTTCGTCATCAAGCGCAGCAGCGGAAGCGGAAGCGGAAGCGGAAGCAGCCCCAGCAGCGGCAGTTGACTAGCCGGCGGCGGCGGCGGTGGTAGCAGTAGCGGTGGTTGTGGAGGCGGTGGGAGCCTCATCGGGCCGCGCTACGCGGAGATGGTCCTGAGGGGGAGGAAGTGAGGAAGAGGAGACGGGACTTCTGCGGCTTCTGCGACTGCTGCTGCTGTTGCTGCTGCACGGCGGTGGTTACTTTCGAGCGGGATAGGGAGCGGCGGCGGGCTCGTCGCGGCTTTTTTGGGGCCCACGCATCGCCTGCGCAGCCGGCTGCCTGCCTACTACTACTACTACTACTATTACTTCGCATTTGCACCTGGACGAACGAGCGAGCACAATCGATCGAAGATAATGAAGGAAGCACGCGGACGGGCCGCCGATAGCACGTACGCATAATCTCTTGCACGAGGAAAAGGGCTGGCTGGCTGGCTGGCGGACGTGTCTCTGCACGCACGGTGAAGGACGCAGACAACGGTATTTGTGGCCTTGACACGTCGAAACTTGATCGAATGGACGGACAGAGAGACCGATGGGCAGGACGAACGACAGTGACAACGACGACGACGACGACGGGCACGAAAGAGTCAGTCAGAGTCAGAGTCGAAGTCGGAGTCACGGTCACGGTCACGGTCACGGTCACGGTCACGGTCACGGCACACCCACAGCGAATGGACGGACAGGAGGGACGGGACAAAGAGACGGGACAAAGGGAGGGGACAATCGGACAGGACAATCGGACAGGACAATCGGACAGCGCACTGGTTTGTTTGGCACGGACAGGACAGGGCAGGACAGGACGGGACAGGACAAGAGAGAGAGAGAGCAGAGCAAGCAGAGCAAGCAGAGCATTCGCTGCTCCAAGGCGTTTAGGTATCTTTTCTCTTTTTGGGGGGTGCGGCGTTTGTTAGTGGCTGGTTGGGTTGGGGGGACTTACTAAGGTACCTAGGTATTGTTGTTGTTCCTTTTTGCTTTCTTTTTTGTTTGTTCTTTTCTGTTGGGTTGGCTCTGGGGCACACACGTTTGGGGTTGGGGGTGCATTGCGTTGGCTGGTGGCTGGCTGGCATGAGGAAGGAGGGGGGAAGCGTAATGTCTGGTTGTGGATGCGGAGTGTGGGTTGCGGGTACGGAGTGTGGATTTATTGATAAATAGGGGAGTGAGGAGTGGAGAGTGAAGGGGGAGGACGGATTCGATTGCTTGCATAGGTACCCACCTACCTATACCCACACCTCACCTACCTACCTAGGTGCGGGTGTGCAGAGATACGCATACGCAGCGCATACGCAATAAAGACGGAGTGGCGGTGGGTGCGCGAGGTTCGTCTGCTACGCTACGCTACACTGTTATTGCTACGCTTTTCTTGAGTTTCGTTGAGTTTCGTGTCGTTTCTTGGACATGTCTGGCTTGGACTGGGATGGGTTGGGCTGGTATTGGATTAAATGGGTAGGGGTAGGGGCAATGGCCCTGTTTGATGGATTGATGGATGGATGAATGGTCTTCTTCTTCTTCTTCTTCTTCTTCTTCTTCTTCTTAAAGCGTATCGCAGCTCAAGGCATCATATAGACGGATATAACAAGGTAGGGCTGTGTAGGTGCATGGGCTGGACATCAAGGGCACGAGTAGATAGAGTTGACGTTGGAGCCGCTGCAGCCGCTGGAGTCGAAGTCGAAGTCAACTAGTTGCTAGGAAGGGCGTGGCGTGGCGTGGCGTGGCGTGGCTGGTATTGCTACCCACCTAGGTCCTATAGATTCGACTAACTCGACTACGTAAGCTGGTTGGGGGGGGGGGGTTGGTAGGGCGGCGCGGCGCCGTGCCGTGCCGTGGTGGTGGTAGGAGGCGCGGAAACGAATACATTGCCTAGGTACCTGGTCCATGTAGGCGTGTTTGGAGGTGCTGTGCTGTGCCTGTGCGGCGCGGTGTGCGCGAGAATAAGCGTAATACGTGTTTGTATATATATCGAGAGAGAGAGAGAGAGAGAGAGAGAAAGATCACCGCCTTATTATACTTGGCTGTGCTTGTTAATCTGTCTGTATCCGTTGCCATCCTTGTCCAAGCTTGTTTGGAGCAGGCCGAGGCCCAAGCATACAGGCAGGTACATGCCTAGGTAGGTAGTATAGGTATACGTTACAGCGTCTGCTTGGCTCGTGCAACACCCCCCTCCCCCCTTACGACTGTAAAGTTGCTGTAACCGCTTCCCTCGCTCAAAGCAGAACCAAAGACCAAAACCCCAACAACCCATGCAACTGTCCAGTCAACGCTTCCGCTGCACCCGCTCCCACACCCGAGCTCTGCAGTCCACCCGTACCAGAAACGCTGATACTGGCTCTGGCTCTGGCACTGGCACTGCGTGTATAGCCGCTACTACAATCAGTCGAGTCGATGCAAGTCAGGTAGTAGTAGTGGCGTTTTCTCGGCCGAGAATTGAGGAGCCGAGGAGTTGAGGAGCCAAGGGGACGGGAGAGCGAGTGAGAAGGAGAGGGCGAGGGCGAGGGCGAGGGCGAGTGAGTGTGCGAAGGCAAGTAAGAGACGCGCGGGCGGGGCGTGGAGTGCGGTATGGATGATGCGGGTGTGCTGAGTACCTAGAGTTGAGCTGGGCTGGGCTGGGCTGTTTCTACGTATGTATGTGTGATGGGTACGGTACCTAGGTAGGTAGGTGGGTGTGCGTAGGAAGGCAAGAAGGCAAGAAGACGAAAGGCGAAAGGCGGAAGGCGGAAGGCGGGAGGCAAGAGTACCTACCTACCTACCTACCTATCCACAGCCGAGGTCGTGCGCACGCATATACACGACACGACACCACGACATCACGACGAGACACAACACAAGCTCCAAGAGCGCAAAGCCAAGCCAAGCAAAGAAACAATCCAATCCAATCCATTCATCGACTGCGCGCGGAGCTAACACCTTCAGCAAGGTGCTCTGAGCTCTCTTTCGCGCTAGCAGTTAGGTAGCTGGGGGCTGTGGTGGTAGTGGTGGTGTAGTGTAGTGTAGTGTAGTATACAAGCTGGTTGGGGTAGGGTAGGAAAAGGACATGGCGTGGGCGTGTGTGCGTGTTGGAGCAGCCACCTCGCTGCAGAAGAAGAAACGGGAATAGAAAAGATAAAATCGAAAGACAGGTCCGGAGCGCCAACGCTAAGTGTCATGTTGATTCCTTTTTTTGGGTGGTAGTGGTGGTGGTGATGGTGGTTTTGTTGGTGTGTTTTTGCGTGCAGCCGTGAAGCAAAAGCAAAAGTAGAAAAACGAAAGTGGTGTTCGTCGGTCAGTCAGTCAGTCAGTCCGTCTGTCCGTTCGCTTATTCCTCGATCGCTCGTCACTCGCTCAATCGAAGCGGTCGTCGTCGCCCGAAGCAGGCCGAAGCGTTTTCTGCACCGCTCCTCCACCCATGAGGATCCTCTCGCGATCCTGGCGCATGCCCTCGAGCACGGCAACAAGCCCGCCCTGCCGCATCCGCTGCAGCACAATCTTCATACCCTCCTTGGCATTAGGCTGGCTCTTCTCGGCGCGACGCAAGCCGATAATCTCAATGGAGCGCTGAATCGAAGCCGTGGACCAGGCCTTGAAGAAGCCAGGCTGCTTCTCCGGCTGCTGCTGCTGCTGCTGCTGCTGCTCGGCCGAGGCAATGGCTTTCGCCTCGCGGCGCTTGCGGATGCTCTCGCCCAGCTTCGAGTGCAGCGTCACCGTGGTCGTGACGTCGGTCGTCTGGCCCGGCTCGAGCAGCCCATGCGCCGCGGCCGACTTGTGCACGTTGTGGGAGCGGAAGATGTCGACGGGGCGGCGGAAGACCTGGCGCTCGACGACCGACAGCACGCCCGTGAACTCGAGGTTGCGGCTCTCGGTGTCCATCCAGCCTTCGCGCACGTCGACGGTGCTGCGCTCCAGGATGTAGCTCTGGCTGTCGCCCGATGACGAGGCGCCTAGCAGCCCGCGCGGCAGCAGTTTCAGCAGTGCGGGAGGCAGCTTCGACCGCTTTAGGTGCAGGCGCACCGTGTGCAGTTGCTGCGTGGCTGGGTCGAAGCGGCGGTCGATGACATCGGTGCTGAGCACGTGGGTCGAGTACGGGTTGGGGTAGCGGAGGAAGTAGGCGAGGGTGACGGCGGGGAAGGCGTAGTCGTAGCTGTAGGAGCTGTCGTAGAATTTCACCATTGTGGTGTGCGCATGTTCGAGTTGATGTTTGATGAATGACGTGCGGGGGAGAGGTGGGTGAGGGAGGATGGAGGGAGGCGGAGAGAGAGCGAGCGTCTTTTGAGATTTGGTTGGATGGAAAGCAATCGACGCGCTGCGACTGGCTCGACTGATGATGGCGAGAGCGCGGCCGCCGATCCTCCGGTCTGCCTGACCCGTGAGGCGACGATTGGCGCTCTTGGCGCGGGGCTGCATGAACTCTGAACTCGTGGTATACCGTTTGCAATGGTGGCGGTGATAACGATGATGACAACAACGGTAATAGTGATGATGCCGACAACGAATGCAGAGAAAGAACAAACCCCATACCGCCAGTCCTCTCCCCTCTCACAGACATAGGCTACACTAGCACCAGCCACCCATCTGATTATCAAGCGCACACTCACCCTTCTCTTACCTTCTAATCGGCAAGCACTCGGGCCGAGCAGCGGCAAGGAAGCCTGCGGGGCAACCTCGCAGCAACCATCACCTCACCCAGGCACCCCCGTAACAACCACCATCAGCAGCCTTGCCACGCCCTTCGTGTGTCCACGCACTGCCTGACTGACTGCTGACAAACGCGCCCCGCGCGACAGGCAGCACGCCATCGGCCGCGTGCAAGCTCATTGGCCATGGCTCGGGATGGCATCATTGCCGATTAACAATCACGGCGGAGGTAAGGCTGGTAGGGCAGGGAGGCACGGGTATATATATATGTGTGCTGGGGGGAGGGTGAAGGGGATAGCATACTCACTCACTGACTGCCTCAATTACGCCTATACCTAGCATCGCCACCACCATGACAACAGCGGCACCACACCCCACGCCCGCGCACGAGCTGCCCCAGGCCCAGCCTCAGTCTACCAACATCTCCACAGCACCAACACCGCACGCCTTCGCCGTCCCCCGCGGCCCCGTCACCGCAACCCTCACCTACTACGCCCCGCCCGCCGACAACAGCACGCCCTACAACTACGTCGAGACGCCCCCACCCGGGGTGCCGCGCTCGAACTTCGGGTCCGCCGACCACGCCATCACCATCAACGACATGCGCGGGCACGAAGCCGACTTCGACCTAGACCGGCACTCATTTGCGGCGCTCTCCAACGTGCCGTCTGAAGAACACGCCTTCGTCGACGACGCCACGATCAAGCGCGTGTACTACCCGGAAGTGGAGGCGCTGCTGCTGTCGCAGCTGCCAGGGACCCCGCAGCGCGTGCTCCTGTTCGACCACACGATCCGCCGGGCCGGGAAGGCGGACGCGGCGCGCGGGCCCGTGACGCGCGTGCACATTGACCAGACGGCGCGGGCGGCGCTGGCGCGCGTCCGCCACCATTTGCCGCACGAAGCGGACGCGCTGCTGCGCGGCCGCGTGCGCATCGTCAACGTGTGGCGCGCGCTCAACGGGCCCGTCGTCTCGTTTCCGCTGGCCGTGGCGGACGGGAGCACCGTCCGCGGCGAGGACTTGGTCGGCGTCGAACACCGCTATCCGGACCGCGTGGGGGAGACGGCGGGTGTCAAGTTTGAGGAGGGCCAGCGGTGGTGGTATTGGAGTGGCATGGGTGAGGGGGAGAGGCTGCTGCTGCTGTGTGCTGATAGTGAGAATGAGAGGGGTCGCGCGCCGCACACTGCTTTCGTGGATCCGAGGACTGAGGAGGGGGCGCCCGGGAGAGAGAGCGTCGAGGTTAGGGCGCTGGTGTTTGGGTAGGTGCCCGGGGTGGGTCGGTGGGGGATGGAGAGGGAGGGGTCTGGGGAACGGGGGTTGAGCAACAGGGTTAAGTAACGAATCACGGCCATCTGCATTCATTTAATATTTTCTTTCCAGCTTCAGTATCAGTAGCGGCACGCACCCACCTACCAACGTCGTACCTAGTTAATCCATCCATCTTTCTCTACTATATCCACGCCCCGAGTCTCCGCAGTAGCTAAGGTATGCAGGTGATCCACCGGCCCTTTTCTCGGCCGCCCGAGTGTTCGGGCAGCAACGGGCAACGGGCAACGGGCTAGTTAGGTGGCTAGTTACTACAGTAGCAAGCATGCAATATGTAGTAAAGCCTTGGTGCATCAGGCGCGCGCTTGTGGCGTTCCTACGTGGTGTTGGTGGCGTATGTGGTGTTGGCGCTTGTGGCGTATGGGTACGGGTACGGTGCGGTGTTAGTGCGGTGTTGGGTTGGGCTGGGTTGGGCTGGGTTGGGTTGGTGGAGGTGGTGTGGAGGAGGACGACGACGAGGAGGAGGAGGAGGGTGAGTGAGTATGTAGTAAGAGCGGTTTACTACTACTCCTCCTCCTCCTACCTACAATATCCACCGTTCTAGAACATGGTATAAATACGTAGGAGTATTACTTATGCAGTGCTATAACGCTCTGTCCTATTCTCCTTAACCAACTCCAACTAATACTAGTATAGTGGAATAATAGGTGACCTATCTGAAGGGCAGGTTTGAGATAAAGCGTATAAGTGAGTAACTCTACTCTAAGCCGAGTTAAAGCGATAGCGGGATCTGTATAAGGTACTAGGACGTAGCATAGTAAATAAAAGATTAAGAGTACGAAACTAAGCTTTAGCAAACGCTTATAGGAGAGAGGGAAGGAGAAGGACTTTTCTCCTTCTCTTCTTTGACTACTGCTGGCTTGGTTTCTGTGCTGCTGCGTACGTACTATATAGACGCGCTTGTGCTAAGTACGCCTAGTTCTGGGCTTGGTTGGCGTGCGTGCTTGCGTGCGTGGCTGCTGGGTAGGTAAGGCTTCAGTGATCGGTGGTGGTGATGGGTGGGGTGAGGGGGAGGGGTTGTTTGAGATGTGTATTTGAGGCGTGGTGCGGGTGGAGCATTATGTGTGGGTTTTGGGAATGGTTTTGGATTGGGATTGAGTGTGGATTGCTCTCGCTCTCTCTAGTGTAGGGACGTCGTCCCTAGCACAGCGCACCACTCACTCACCCACACACACTCACCCACACACACACACACACACCCAGCACACACACCAACACGCACTCCCAGGAACCATAAATTGCTACTCAGCCAGCCCTGGCAACGTCCCGCCAAAAGCGTCTTGCAGCTAGCAGTCCCAGAAACATATCATACAACATCTCTCTCTCCCTTCTACTCCGCCTCACATAACACAGCAAGGCTTGCCGCCCAGCTGGTCCTTGGGCGTCTGGTACTTGCGCCTGTTCGTGAGTTCGACGGGGGTAATCGGGGCCATTGTAGCGGGTTGGGTGTGTTGGTACCGGTGGTAATGAGTGTGTGTGTAGTTGGCTTGTTCGTGCGTGTGGAGTTGCGTGTTGCGTGTCCGGTGGTGAGCGGAGTGGTGGGTGGGAGGGGGGATTTTATGCCGCTGGCGAAGTAGGTGTGTGCGTGTGTGCTGGGTGTGTGGGCTGTGTATTGGTGTGTGTGGGGGTGGCTGTGTGGCGGAGAATGGGGCCGCATACGGGTTTGAATAACTGAATAGAGGGGCGCTGCGATTGGAGGTGGGGGGCGGCTTCAATAACTACGCTCGTTTTTTTGGGCGGCATCAATAACATCTCTGCACGATGTAGCGGGCTTCAATAAGCAGGTGTGTGGTATAGTCGCTGCGCTGCGGGAGCCGCGCATTGTCTTGTGGTTTGGCTAGCTGAGAGGCCGGGACCGCGTTTGTGTATGCGTAAGTGTAGCTGTTGTGTGGTGGTGTGGTTCAGTGTGTATCCCTTCCGCCCACAGCACCACCATCACCGTCACGCAAGAAAAAAGACGAAAACGAAAGACGAAAGACAAAAAATAAATGAAGACAGACGATCAAGAGTGAAGAGTGCTAATCATTTAACATCTCTTAGTTTTTAGACCGCTATTTGAAGGTCATGACGTTAATAAAATACGTGGTGATAGACGGTTAGTGTCTGTGTATGTGTTGTGTGGGGCTGGCGGTGGTGTGCCGTACAGAGTAGAAGTAATTCTGTCTTTCAGCAAGGCTGCAAGGCTCAGGAGCCATCTTGGTCCAAAAAGCAACGTACACAACACACGCAGCAAACAAATTCGTCCACACAGCCGCCCCGCTCCGAAGACGGCAAGGCACGGCAGTAGCAGTGGCAAAGACGGAAAGAAAGAAGTCCAGCAGACTCGAACAAAGACAGATAAGAAATCAAGACAAACAAGAAATGCCAACAGAAACCCACTGCTCCGAGTCTCGCAGTGGTGGTATCGAATACCGCAAACAACGCTGCCGAGACCAGCCCAAACGCCACTCCAAAACAAAGAACATTCGCAAACCCCCACCTTCCTCACAGATTAGCATTTTCAAGCGGCTGCCACAGCAGGCCCGAGCCACGGCCAACCATCAGGACCTTATTACATAAGCAGTCCCTAACATACCTCGCCATACCAATTCCATCAGGTCCCTGCCAGCGCCAAAGCACGGTGCCCAAACCCGCGCCCGCCAAACTCCCATCGCAATCGTCGTCCGCGGTCCCGCTCATAACGACATCCATCTCCGCGTCAGCCACAATGCCGTAAATGCCACAGCCGCCGCACGCAGGGATCAAGCCCGCCCGCGCCTGGAACGTGGGACACCCTGTGTCTTTGCGTGCCTGCTGGTCCGCTGCGCTGAATGCGAGGCGCATGGGCGGCAGGCAGGGCAGGTGGTTGCCGTGCGCGAGGTTTAGGTCCCACGGCAATATGTATTGTTTTTGCTTGGCGTTGAACAGCGTGCTGTAGCCGGTCTTGTGGCGGTAGTGTAGGGAGCGGCCGTCGCTGGAGGGCGTGGCGGTCCAAGCGTTCCAGGGTTCGTCCAGGAGGTTGCGTGTCATGAATTCGCGCTTTGCGGCTCTGATTTTCTTGGAGCTGTGCTTGCCGTAGAATTCGAATTTGGGTATTTCTAGACCGGCGGCGATGGCGGCTGCGTCGAGCTTTGGTGTTGATATGCGCTTTTTAGTTTTGCGCTTTTTGGTGTAGATCCTGTCGCTGCCACTACCACTGCTGCTGCTGTTGCTGCTGCTACTACTACTGCTGCTGCTGCTGTAGCCGTCTCTGCTACGCTTTCTCTTGTTGCTCTTGAGTATGCCTTCGGTTTCTAAGGCGATTCCCTGGCCACATCCCGGGGTCGTGCAGGTTACCAAGATCTTCTGGCCCGGATGGCCGCTCAATACTGTGGGCGGCACGGCACTGTGGCACTTTGGACACCTCCTATCCACCTCGGGCGCCATGGCCATGCTCAGCTTCTGATCGAGGAGGCGCTTCTCGTCGGATTTGCGCAGAGCATCCACGTGCGCGTACGGCAAGCGCCCGCCGTAAACGCCGGCTGCCAGCCCGCCGAAAATGTCTTGTCCATTGCTGTCCGGACCCGGGCACTTGTGGTACCCGTAGGTAAAATGTTCGCAATATGCGCAAAAGAATGGGCGCCCTGGAAGCTTTATGCCATCACCAAAGTCGGCATCCAGCCAGTTGTGCTCCTCTTCCATCACCCGATCCTTGAACAATGCAACTTTTTGTTTTACTTGCGCGAGATAGGGGCACTCGGTGTAATCAAAGCTCGATTCGGTGAACATTCTGTGGTTGAGGTCTCTGCAAACGCTGCAGTATGGCAGCTCCCGCATCGAGCGCTCGATCTCATTCCACAAGTCTGTAATCCACTTGTGTTTCTCTGGGCAATCCTCATGGGCGTGGCCCTTTCGCTTACAGAATCTGCACCAGTCAGGTGGCATATGTCTGTTAAAGGTGTCATTGTTGGGCATGTTCGACCGATGCATCGTCTGGACCTTCGAGAATCCATCTTGTATGGCTCGAGATTCTAAAGCATCTTCGGATTTGCAGCGTGAGGGGAGGTGATCCTTTGAGCGGCAGTAGGGACATTGGAAGGAGCTCCGATCGCGTCTGTAATCCGAGTATGCCAGGGCCTCCTCCCGGGGTGCTTTACAGTCATGAATCTCATGGTCGTCGGCGCCGCATCTGTCACAGAGTTTTTTGCCGTTATGCTTGTTGCCTTTACTTCCACGCTTGTTGCCGAACTCATCGTACCATTGGCCCTTTTCATATGTACCGCCTCTGTTTTTGCTTTTATTATTGCCGCGATTATTATGATTGTTTTGATTTCCATAGTTGTTTTGATGCCCCCGTTTATTTTTATTTCCACGGTAGTTATTGTTTCCACGGTAGTCTTGGTTTCCCTTGTTTCCCTGGTTTCCCTGATATCCATTGTTATTGCCATTGCCGCGTTTGCCGTGGTTTTTATAACGCGCCATGATAATCTCGGGCTGATTAACCAGGTACAAAGCCGACGAATACGAGAAGGCGTCTAGGTAAAGGACCTGCCTCGGTCAAGTGAGGTGGCAAAAATAAAATATGGGTATCTTGAGATTTTAGGCGGCAACAAAAGTCGACTCCGCCAGCGGATCAGGAGGCAGAAAAGTGCAATGTGAGACTCGAGATGGGATGAAAAGGTGAAAGAGACGAGAACATGGGCGATTCCACAGATATAGCAACATGGTCCTTTGTCCTCTGTCGTTGAGGCATATTGGTTACTAACAATCGCTTTATAGCGAGACCGAAACAGGCGGCGGCGCGAACAAAGAGTTGCGGTGGTTAGTTCAATCAGGGCAGTGTCATGTGCAGGTTGGTTGGCCGGAATGAGAGAGAGAGTCGGACTCGGACAGACAGAGATTTCCAAACACTGAGTAGGGCCGTATGCAAGGTTGGGTAGCAATAATATAAGAGAAGAAGAGATTGCGGCTGGCGTGAGTGACGTTGGTGATTCGCCGATTGCGTGCAGCGGCGGGCCGGCAGTTCCCTGTGAAGCGCGTGGAGGACATTGATCTGCGGGTGGCCCGGCCTCGTGGTTGGTACACACAGGTATTGGGAGAAAAGGTGTCGATGGAGATTGGTGACAGGTTTCAAGGCGTCGTCGTCTTGACCCGGTTAAGCAAAGTGTGCGCGCGCCGCCAAGGGTCGTCGCCAGCCTCCCGCTTTCTGCAGCCACAAATAACTGTAGGAGCTCCCTCCCTCTCGAGCGAGCTCCACCCTTAACTTAGTACAACACATCGCCATTGCTCGCTGCCACTCACTCATTCCCCACGCGGCCGCGACCCTCTTTCTACCCCCGAGCCATCCCGTCCATGTCTCCTTGATTTCTGACGTCCACACGTCCTCCCGGCCTGCACTGCCTCCCGGCTCCGCTGCATCATTCACTCGCTCGCTTTTTTCTAGTTTTCTGCCTTGCTCGCACTGACTCGTCAAATCCAACGCCAACAACGTCACGCCCAAGGCCGCCGACTGCTGCCATTCCACAAAAGCCCCCGGATTCCCGCCAACTGCGACCCGACATCCCCCAAATGGCGACCAAGCTGGCCAAGCTCGGCGCGTTGGCGAACATGCCGCACACCAATGGCATCTATTCCGACATGACCGTTGACGGCCCGGAGATCGGCACCTTAGTCATGGTCGTCGACAGAGCAAAGAACCTGCCCAACCTGAAGAAGATGAGCAAGCAGGACCCTTACTGCGCCGCCCGCCTGGGCAAGGAGGCGCGCAAGACCGACACCGACAAGAGAGGTGGCCAGACGCCGAGGTGGTGAGTACCAGACCGCCGCGCCGGCCTTCCCTTTCCCCGCAATCCGCACCCTCGCTGACAAGCTTCAGGGACCAAGAGCTGCGCTTCACCGTCCACGACTCGCCCGACTACTACCGCATGAAAGTCTCCGTCTTCAACGACGACAAGAAGACGGATATAATTGGCGAAACCTGGGTGAATCTGGAGAACGTTGTCGTCCCTGGCGGCGGTCAGAGCGACACCTGGCACGGCTTGACCTGCAAGGGCAAATACGCCGGTGAAATCAGACTCGAGCTCACCTACTACGACACCCGACAGGCCACCATGGAGGCAACGGCAGCATCGGAGAGGAAAAGGCACAGCACACATCACAGCCACCTGGGAGGGCCCAGGGAGCATGCCCCGGTCAAGAGACGCCCGCTCCCTGCTACCGTGGCTACGAGCGTATCTGCTCCTCCCATCATCATTCCTTCGGACCCTGCAGCAGCTCCGGCACCGGAGAGAATCCCTCGAGGCTTTCAAACACCCCCACAGACGGCGGCCCCATTCTCGCCAGACGATTTCAACAGCTTCGCCCAGCCTCCGATGGACGAATTGGGCTACGGGTACCCGGTACAGCCAGTCGGACACCCATCGCCGTACTCGCGCCGGGGCTCGATTGCTCCCCCGCACGCGCTCCGGTCTAGCCAAGAATTCAGGGCAAGGCGCCAGAGCCACCTGGAAATGCCACACGCGCATTCGGCCCCAATAATTCCTCACTACCACCACGATCCCGACGTGGGCATGGACAGGCTTACGCAGTATCCTCCTGAGCTCCCGCCGTTGGACGGGTACGACTACGACGAGCCCCAATTTGCGCCTTACGGTGCTGCTTACCGCAATCTGCAACCTACGGTCGAGGATGAGGATGACGCGGCGCCGCCTCCTCCGCCAGCGCATAGGGCCAGTGCACCGGCGGTACCTGGTGTGACCATGCCTTCCGAGTATCCCCCGGAGACTGCCATGGTTCCCCAATCGCCACATTTCTTGCAGGACCCATACGCCTATCCTCCTGAGGATGCAATTCGTCCTCCTAGCAGCGGCGACCCTTATGCGATCCCGTCGGCGTTGGTGCCAGGCTCGGCACCTGCTAGGGCCGCTCACCACCACAGAATGAGCATTGGCGCCTATCCTTCTTCCGGTGGATACTCCCCTACGAGCTACCCGGCCGAATATCAGCCGCCTCAATGGCCCACCACTCAGTCGCCTCTGGAGTACGGCACCCCACCCAATTACCCCCCACACCCAATGTCTCATGCGGAGTTTGCCCCTGCATATTACCCCACTGCAGCTCCCGAACCCATGCCCCTGGCAAGACGCCCCGTCAGCCCTGGTGTCAGCCCGTCTCGGCACTCGCGCATTGCGGTGCGCAGCATCCCGAACCGGAAATCGGTCTCTCCTCGGCCCCAGACCTCGGACGGAGCCAGCAGGAACCACTTTTCGCCCGACAGCTTCGAGGTGCTCAACCCGGCGGCACGCAACTCGATGTACAACTTGCACGGGTCCAACCCACACAGCCCGTACACGATCGAGCGGCCACCGACGGCGCCCAGCCCAGTGCCGACAACGAACCAGAGCCGAGACCTTGACCTGCATGCGCGCGACGAGGACGGCAACATCGTCACCATGGACGGGCGCAAGATCGACCCGTCGGATCACCTGCCCGTCGACTCGTGGGCACCCGAGCCTGAGCCCAAGGGCAAGGACCGCGAGAAGCGTACGCCGGTACGGGACAGTCGGTTGACAGGTGCGCGCGAGCCGGGCGCCATGCCCCGCCATTATGGGCCTGGCGATGCGTCGCCCACAGCTATGGTGCGCAGCTCGAGGTACTCGAAACGCCAGAGCCAGCCGTTCGCCGCGCCGGGAGCGTATGGCGCACCGCCGATTCCGGCGAAGGTGCCGTTTGGCGATGGCAGGGCTAGCATGGATGGCGGCGACATGACGGCGCTGAGCGAGGAGTTGAGAGGGATCGAGCTGGGTCCCGCGGGGACGGGGAGGGATCGTGGACGCTGGCGGATCAGGATCGGCCGGGTGTGACGGTGGCGAAGGGAGAGAGAGTAGACAGTGGATTTCCTTTGTGATTTCTTTCCACTTTTCCTTTCTTCCTTCTGTTGGGTTCTCTCTTTTCTCTTCTTTTCTCCTTTTTCCTTATATTTCCTTTCTTCTACTTCTTGGCTGGGCCTCCTCCTTCCCCATCCGTGGGCGTGGAGGCTGGGCTTTGTACATGTACAGACATACTTACTTTGGTGGGGTTTTTTCGGTGGGTGGACGGGGGTGCGGAGAGGGGTTGCATACTCGGACTCAGACTCGGACTCAGATGGAAGACTGGGAGACTGGGAGACGGGAAGACGGGATGGATGAACGAATGAACGGACATGGGACACGGATACGGCACGCTACGCTACGCTACGTATGCACGCACGCATGCAACGCAACGCAACGCAACGCAACGCAACGTAGACGGGCTCGCTTGCTCGCTCGCACGCAGTTGGCAGCTAGCAGCAGCTACTACTCACTTGGTAGCTGGCTTGTTTGCCTGCCTGCTTTGCCTTGCTTGTCTTGCTTCGCTTGCTTAGTAAACTTAACTTTTTCGGGAGTATCACGGACAAGCAGTACGCCCGCAGCATATGCAGGGTGGAATGGTGGGGATGGGAGTTTATTCCGGGGCTTTTTTTTTGGGGGGGGGGGTGTGATGGGATTGCTTTGGTGTTAGGATTTAGGAATTTTTCTTTTTTCTTTCTTCTTTTGCTTTAGTGGTGGTGAATCAAGTGATGGGTTTTATGTCTGTGTGCTGTGTGTTGTGGTGACTGACTTTTGTGACTTTGGATTGGTGACTGCGTTGGTGAGTGGGTGAGTGGGTTGTGGAGGCGGAAGTAAGGGTGAGGATGACGGAGTTTGGTGGTGGGATAGGTGCGTTTTGTGCGTGGCGTGCCACCTGTTTGTAGGTGCTGTTTGTTTGGTGTTTGTGGTTTGTGGTTTGCTGGTTGCTGGTTGTTTGCTTCTGCTGTAGAGGAGAGGTGAGAGAGGGGGAGGGGGGGTGTGTTTGCTACTCACCAAGAGAAAGCAAAGCGGGTATTATACAGAAGCAAGCATAAACCACAACAAGTAACAACGGGAGGCAAGAAACTCAAGCGCTCTGGAACGCCGCGCCCAGACCTATCTAAATACCCTCGCCCTCCCCACACACAGAGCCACCGTCGCGTCCAGCCCACCACACCCACACCCACAAAATACGAGCCCACGCGCTCACGCGCCCTCGAGCCGCCGCGCCTGTCCCATCACAGCACATCACAGCGTGGCGGACAGCCACACCAATCGCTCCGCGTGCCCCGGCCGGGCACACCCGCAATCACTCCCTTCTCGCAACTCGCGTGAACGCTGCCCACAGCCCCGTTCTGCTCTCGTGTGCCCACGCACCCACTCACTCACCCGCCTACCCACGTGCTCGCCCACTCGCCTACTCGCCCGCCGCACACCGCGCCCAGCGCCCAGCGCACTGGGCGCGTCCGCCGCCCGCATCCGTACCCGCGTGTCCCGATGGAAGCACTATTCCCATGCCGGCGTCGGTGCCGGTGCCGGGCGATCGCACACTACCTACGCCAAGGTCTAAGGCGCAGCGGCAATGGTCAACGGTCTAGTGGGGTGCGAGCGGGGTGAGGTATGTATGTTGAATTTGAGGGTATGGATTCATCAATATGGATGGATGCTACGGTGTCTGTCTATTTATTTCTGCGACATGGAGCGGAGGACAGGGTACGAAGAAGGAGTATGTACAATACGAAGACTCTGTCTCGATTTCATTTCTCGCGCAGCTATTTCTCGCGAGACGACACGGCTTCAGGACGAATAGCAGGCCAGCAGGCAAGCCAGCCAGCCGGTCGAAGCCAACCTTGAGGCCAACCAACCAACCAACCAATCCCAATCGCCGCCCTGACGCGTCGAAGACCTAGGTTAGTTACGTAGTGATATCACTCTACCTAACCATGCAACTACTCGTATCGCCTGCCTCGCCGCCAGGCCCGCCACCCTCAATTTCTTCATTCACATCTACCACGAAAGCGCCTATATCCTACTACTATTGTTGTTGTTATTGTTGTTATTGTTCTTCCTTGCCGCAAGCAGACGTTCGTTATACCCGCGGCGCGTGCCATGCTCGCCGCTGCTCCACCGCAGCCGCTGCGCAGCGCTCCACAACAGCCGGCTCCGTCGCACGTCCCACATCCGCGCCCACACGCCTAGATAGCGTAGCGCACTCTCGCGCGCGCTGCTGCCATGAGCAGCCGGCGGCGCTGCGCGCGCGTCCGCTTTTGCGCGGATATAACTACGACGACGAGGACGACGACGATAATAACAACAACGCTGCTGGTCCCGATTGCGCTCGCCGCTGCTGCTGCCACTACTGCTGCCGCCACCGCGTCACCACCACCGCTGGCTTTCACGCCCGACCAGAATTGGGACGGCATTGATGGACCGTGGAGCAGTTTTACGCTGCGGGTAGGCAGGCCGGCGCAGACGGTGCGCGTGCTCGCGTCGACAGGCAGCCAGCAGACGTGGGTAGTTGCGCCGGGAGGATGCGCGTACGCGACTGGGGAGGAGCAGGACGTGTGCGCAACGCAGCGCGGGGGCACGTTCAACGCGTCGGCTTCCGCGTCGTGGAAGGCCATTGGCAGCTTTGCGCTCGGCTACGAACAAAGCTTGGGGTTCCGCAGCGCGGCCAACTATGGCTACGACGCTGTTGGCTTGGGCAATGTTGGGGATGGCGGGCCCACGCTCGCGAATACCACCGTGGGCGCCATGATGGCGTTGGATTTCTTTTTGGGCTCGTTTGGCCTCCATCCTAAACCTACGAATTTTACGTCCTGGCAGGATGAGTCGCCGAGTTATATGACTATGCTGAAGGATCAGGGCCTGATTCCCAGCTTGTCGTATGGATACACGGCGGGGAATCAATATCGTCAGTGTCCTGCGGTTGTCAGCGTCGCGTTTTCTGCTAACTTGCATAGGCTTGAATAAGGTTTTGGCAAGTTTGACGCTGGGCGGTTATGACTCGTCCAAGTTTGTGCCAAACAACGTGAGCTTTGCGTTTGCGCCGGACAACGAACGGGACCTAGTGGTTTGTTTGCAGGCCATCACCATGGAAAGCAGCACCAAAGGAAGCCTAGATCTCTTGCCGGAACCTGCCAAGGTGTACATTGATTCGACAGTATCGCAGATTTGGCTGCCGGTTTCCGCGTGCGAGAAGTTCGAGGAGGCGTTTGGCTTGACCTATGACAACGAAACGGATCTGTACTTGGTCAATGACACGCTCCATGAAAGGCTGGCGGCTATGAACCCTAGAGTCACTTTCACGCTAGGGACCAGCTCTCCAAAGGACGGGACGGTGGACATCGTCCTCCCATATAAGGCCTTTGACCTCACCGCCCAGCCACCTTATCAGGGACTGCCGAACGCAACAGCGTATTTCCCTCTCCGGCGTGGCATGAATGGTACGCAATACACTCTTGGCCGCGCTTTTCTACAAGAGGCATACATCATCGTGGATCATGAGCGCGCCAACTTTTCCGTCTCGCAATGCATCTTTGACGACAAGGCTTCCCAAGAGTTGGTGGGGATAGCCGATGCGTCTAGCAGCAATTCAGACCCAGACAAAGACGGAGACTCAGACGGAGACGCAAACGACGACGGCTCCCTTGGCACTGCCGCCATTGCTGGTTTGGCTGTAGGACTAACAGTCTTTGTCATCGCCGTGGGCGCTCTGGTCGGCCTGTTCTACTGGCGGAAACGCTACCGCAAGCTTAAGAAACAAGTCGATCTGGCGTCGTCGGAATCACCAAAAACGGAAGACGTCCCTTCTGGGACGGCAGGAGCAGGACGGACCGACAATTCAACACCGACCTTGCCTAACACAGAGCTCGACGGGACGCCGGTCAGATCAGAAGACGATTTGATCAAGCAGCAGTCCTCTGCCATGTCAGTCCCGCTAAGCCCGGGGTCGGCGCAGTCGAATCCTTCTTTCCCGATGTCAGAAGTCGAAGGGCAGGAGCGGCAGGTATACGAAATGCCCGGGGACATGCCGCCGACGAGCGAGGCGGACGGGCGGGAGCTGTCGGAGAAGCAGGCGATGCTGTATCGCGAGGCTAAGTACAACGGCACGGGTCCTGGACCATTGCCGACGTCCCAGACAAGTCCTGAGCGTGTCCGTCCGGCACCCATCAGCAACCCGGCGCACGTCAGGCACAGCGTCGGCGCCACCGACGACGAGCCCATCTCCCCGCTGAGCGCCGAGGGAGCAGCACGTGGAACGCCCAGCCCTCATCGGCGGCGCTTCTCGTTTGAGGAGCAGGAGTAGTGGCGGCTTTTCGCATGGCACTGGCAGTATTTTTCCTCTAAGCGACCGAGGACCGGGGCCCCGGCTGTGACGGGTAAGGCCTGGACGGCAATCGGAAATGGGAGCAGGAGGGCCACAAGGCGGCTTTTTTTTTTATTTTTTTCTGCGCGAGGCGGAGGAAAGTGGGGGCCAAAAACGAAGCTTACGTGCCTGCGACATGTCGTGTCTCTGGTGGTGGTGCTGCTTCGCGGCTGACCGCTCTAGGGCTCGGCGGTGGCCGGTGGAAGGAATGAAACGGGAGAGTTTTGACGGTGGGAATCTCGATTGATTGGGCGCGCGCGCTGACCCCATTGTGCGGCCCGTCCCCACCGCCCGGACAAAGAAGAGAGGTGAAAGCTACGGTCAGAGGACCCTTCAGCCTTGGTGTTTCAGCCGGTCGACACTACTTTGTATACCTGCCCGCTGCTGCCCACCGGAGCCCACCGCTTGTCTCTCTTGCCCTCCCTTCGTTTCGTCCTCGCATCCATCCTGTTGCGCCCCGCCCACTTTGCCTGCCCCGCGTGCTGCCGCCCTTTGACGACGCGCAAGCCCACATCCCCGGCGGCTACGTAAATTGCCAGACACAATTTAACGCCTGTTCCCCTCCAGTGGCTTCCCCGCATCCCACCAAGCACAAAGTTACAACCGCGACCATGTCCGACCTCGCGGGCCGCAAAGTCTTCAAGGTCTTCAACCAGGAATTCATCGTCGACGAGCGATACACCGTCACCAAGGAGCTCGGCCAGGGCGCCTACGGTATTGTCTGGTATGCTGCCGCGCTGAACTCCCGATCGCGGGGTTATCGACTGACCATCATCACAGCGCCGCGCAGAACAACACTTCCCAAGAGGGCGTCGCCATCAAAAAGGTCACTAATGTCTTCAGCAAGAAGATTCTCGCCAAGCGTGCGCTGCGCGAGATCAAGCTGCTGCAGCACTTTAGAGGTACGCTCCCACGACGCTAGGCAGTTGACAAGAACCATCGCTAACCACTGTCACAGGCCACAGGAATGTACGAGCCCCGACTGCCCCCCCTCCTCCCCCAAATCCTTTCTCGTGCTGACGAGAGCTAGATAACATGCCTCTACGACATGGACATCCCCAGGCCGGAGAATTTCAATGAGTGCTACCTCTACGAAGGTGGGTGCCCCACTCTCGGGAACAAAAGCTGGCAGCGAGGCTGACAGGACACAGAACTCATGGAGTGCGACTTGGCGGCCATTATCAGGTCCGGCCAGCCGCTGACCGACGCCCACTTCCAATCCTTCATCTACCAGATCCTCTGCGGCCTCAAGTACATCCACTCGGCCAACGTGCTGCACCGTGACCTGAAGCCGGGCAACCTGCTGGTCAACGCCGACTGCGAGCTCAAGATTTGCGACTTCGGTCTTGCGAGAGGTTTCTCGATGGACCCGGAGGAGAACGCCGGATACATGACCGAGTACGTCGCGACGAGATGGTACCGCGCGCCGGAGATTATGCTCAGCTTCCAGAGCTACACCAAAGCCAGTGAGTAGTGGCCCGCCGCAAGCAAGCCCGGGAACGCAACTGACGATAGTAGTCGATGTCTGGTCTGTGGGCTGTATCCTCGCCGAGCTGCTCGGCGGCAAGCCCTTCTTCAAGGGTAGGGACTACGTCGACCAGCTCAACCAGATCCTGCACTACCTCGGCACGCCCAACGAGGATACGCTGTCGCGCATCGGCTCGCCGCGGGCGCAAGAGTATGTGCGCCACCTGCCGCGCATGCCCAAGGTGCCCTTCGCCTCGCTGTTCCGCAACGCCAACCCCGACGCGCTCGACCTGCTCGACCGCATGCTGGCGTTCGACCCGTCGTCGCGTATTTCGGTCGAGGAGGCGCTGGAGCACCGCTACCTGCACATCTGGCACGACGCGTCGGACGAGCCGTCGTGCCCCACGACGTTCGACTTCCACTTCGAGGTGGTCGAGGAGATACCCGAGATGAAGCGCATGATTCTGCAGGAGGTGCAGAAGTTCCGGCAGATTGTGCGCGTGCAACCGCAGGTCGGTGCACCGGGCCAGGCAACGCAGCCGCAGGTGCCCATCCCAGATAATTACGACCCCAGGGCTTACGAGGACCCGCGCCCGCACGAGGCCAACGCCGCGATGCGCGACGCGGGCTTGGAGCAGGAGCTGCAGGCCGGCATGGACAGGAGATGATATAGATGATGCTTTGCAATTCTTTTCCTTCCTTCTTTCTATTTCCTAAGTTTTTTGTCCGAAAGGACATTTATTTTTCTTTCCGAAGAGGTAGCGCTGCGGGAACCGCGAAGGCTTTGAGAGAAAAACATGTTTGGGCAGAAAGTCGTTTTATTGTTGTTGTTGCTGCTGCTGCTGCTGCTGCTGCTGCTGTTGCTGCCAGTAGCGTACGGCTAATCAGTTGCCGTGTTTGAGTGGAGCGGACGACGAGATTACATGCGATGATGTCGATTTCCCGATCCCCCCCAACCATTTGCTCACGCGTTTTCTCTTTATCGGCTCGATTGATGAGGTCTGGCTCTTCTCCACTCGGATCTTCCCCCCTCTCTGACGTTATTGCATGGCGAGCAGAGAGCACGGTAGGTACGGTGGTGGGAGCAGTGACGAACCTCGCTCCCGTCGCCTTGACGTCATGGCCATCTCATTACCATATATCAAACCTCCAAACCGCGCGACAGCTAGCATCTGCACTTGCACTCTCCAATCTACATTCCCATCTCTCTCACAGTCTACTTGATACCTACACACGCAAATCATCCCGAAACTCTAAACCTTTTTTTTTTTTCATCACCACACAACCACCACACACAATGTCTGCCGAGTACCAGGGCCAGAACCCCCTCGACATCGCCAAGCAGGCCGAGCAGGACCTCAACTCGCACCGCGCCAAGTGGGGCCACGACGAGGGCTACGACGGCAACAGCGGCCGGGGCGCGGGTGTCTCGAGTGCGTTTTGCCCTCTTGCCCCTTCCCGGAGTGAGAACTAACAAGTGACTGTAGCTGTCGAGTCTGGCGTCGATGCCCGCGCTGCGGAGCGCTTCCCCGGCGGCAGCGTGACGATTGGCTCGGCTGCGTCGGGCGCTGGAGGCAACCGCGAGATCCCGTTTGAGGAGGGCGGAGATATCCAGAAGGGCACGGGTCGGTATGTATACCTATTGTTCCTTGTGCTATGCTTGCTGGAGTGTATGGTCTAGAAGCTAACGACTCACCTCAGTCCCACCAAGGCCCGCGACTTCGAGGGCTTTGGCGGCCCCGAGGACAAGGCGCGCGCGTATGCTAAGGAGCAGGGCGGCGCCGATAGCGTCCGTGGTAACATTCGGCAGTAGATAAGATGAGGCGCTGGGCGCTGCTGTTGCTGCTGCTGAAGGGATGATACCTTACCTTGTGCTTGGCTGGCTTGTTGCTGGCGAGCTGTGTATGATTAATTAGTTAGTTTGCTACCTACCTTTGCCTACCTGCCCATGTGTATGGGGCTTGAGGAGGGGTGGTTGAATGATTGATGATTGAATGTTTTAATATTGAGCTCCAAATGCTGGCGTGTGGTATGTGCTTGTAGTGTATGTACATAGATAGTAGTTGGGACAAGCCGCCAGGGTGCAGATATAGGAAGGAATACTTTCTGGTAGTTACCCTTCCTTTCCTTCCCTTTACTCCATACCATTCAACATCTCGTCCCCGAAACCAACACCCTATCCCAATTCCCTATCCCATCTACTCTATGCTAACCTTCTCTACACTACCTACCTCAGTCCTCCTACCCACGCACACACCGCCCCGCCCACCGCACCAAGGACGCCACGCGCGCAGTCAGCATGACTAACCCTGCCATCTTATACGCGCGCACACTGTAGACCGCACCGTAGACCGCACACCGCACACCGCAGCCGCACCCCGCGCTTTCAGCCCCCACTGCTGGGTACTGTGCCCGCTGGTGCCGCCTGCCCTACCGCATTGCAGTCTGCTTCGTGCAGTCCACTCTTTCAAGCAGTCTACCCCTCCACGCACGCGGTCTGACCTAAAGCAGTACGCCCTACCTGCAGCAGTTTTGCTCCGCCGAGCAATCTAAGGCTGCCCCGCAACGGAAGGGCGCGGATGCTGCGGCTGCGGCTGCTGCCTGCTGCCTACTTTTGGATTTGGATTTGGAGTTGGATCTAGTGCTTTGATGCGCGTGGATGACGCAAGCGCGCGGGCGCGGGTCAGCTTACTTACTTGCTTGCAGCGTTCGGATTAGTCGCCAATTGTGGCTTGCGCAGCGGAGTGGAGGGGAGTGGGGGCGGGCCGTGGGGGGCTGTGCATGGGAGGAACGATGCAGATGCAAGATGCTTGGGGGAAGGATGAGGGGCTGGGAATGACGGAAGCGGATGCGGGCGGCTCGGCGCGGGAAGGATTCGCGGTGGGTTTTGGGACGAAGGATTTGCTGGTGCTGGTGCTGGTTGCTGGGAGGATTTGGATCGCCCGTGGGATTTTGGAGAGTGGAGCGGGGGCGTGGGGGCGGGGAGCGTGGAGCTTGGGGTGGGGGTTTGGTGGTTGTGGTTGTTGGTTGAGTGGCTTGATGGGGGTGGGTGGTGGTGGTGATGGGAATGCGGTTGGGTGCTGATGTGGGAGTGGGTGCTGGATGGGTTGGTTTTTCCGCTTTTGAGCTGGGTTTTGGGTGCAGTGAGTTATTCCGGCGGACTTGTGGATTGTTTGTTGGCTGTTTTTTTTTT